TTCTCTGTCTGTGATAATTAGATTACCCATTGTGTAAGGTAATTGTATTACAGGCAGAGGGGAGGATTTTGTGTGGGAGTGTCTGTGTGTATTGTACAGATTGATTGGTTGTTCTGTAAAACCCTGTGGGCAGTACTAAGTTTGTGGATTGGGAATAAAAGAAGCTGTATGTGCCAGTCCAGTCAGTTCCTGTTTAACCCTCAAAGTGAAGTGTTGTCTCAGTATTGGGGGAAGGATTTATTGTATGCTGTTCCAGTCTGACTGCTAGGAGGGTAAACCTATTTGTATGGTTTCCTATTCAACTGTCTACAGCATTCATAGGCTTGAGAGCATTCATATGCTCCTACGGTTCGGTGGTTTTGGTATCTGCTGCAGTGCTTGGAGTCCTCAGGAAGTGCTAGGAGCATCCTTCAACGGAGGTACCCAGTCGGGGTGCCAGGTGATCCGTTACATACAGTTCCTCACCCCCACTGCAGCCCCCATCCACATTACAGTCCCTAGCCCCATGTACAGCACCTATCCCCCCACAATAACCCCTATTATCCCAATTTAAGCCCTCACCCCCCACTAGAGCCCCATTCCCCCAACTGCAGTCCCTAACACCCTACTACAGCCTCTATCCCTTTCACTACATCCTGTTTCCCCGTACTACAGCCCCTATTCCCCCTTTTACATCCCTACTCCCACTACAGTCCCTATCCTCCCCACTACTTCTTTCCCTCAATTGCACATTATATCCCTCACACTAAAGCCACTTTCCCCAATTGCAGCCATCCCCGATTCAGCCCCTAACCCCCTTACTGCAGCCATTATCCTCCAATAGATTTCCTAACCCAACAATTACTGTCTATACCTTTCACAATAGCTCCTAATCATCCTACTATAGCCCATATCCCCCCACTACAGTCAACCCCCTCTCCCCATTGCAGGCCCTTTCCCCCCACAATGCCCCCCCCCCCACTACACCCCTGTCCCTACTACAGCCCCTGGTCACCTACTACAGCCCCTAACTCCTCAATTACAGCCCCTATCACCCCACTACAGCCTACCACTTGTGCCCCTCCTGATATTAGGTTCTGGATCTGTCCCTGGCACAGATAAGCTATTTGGGCACAAATTTGGCACTAGTTAGCTATGTTGAGACAAATATGGTACAAATTAGCTATTATAGGACAGATGGCACTGGATAGCTGTATGGGGACATAGATGGCACTGTGAAGCTGGGCACAATCATTGCACTGATTAGCTTTTTTGGGGGGCAAAGCTGGCACTGTAGGAAGTGGGTGACATGCTACCCAGAAACATGCTACAAATATATCTACCCAAGATAATTATTCACAAGTAGACTATAGCCGACTGTAGTACAAAGAAAAAGGTGTGTACTTCCAACTGGAAACAAATAAAAACAGATGCAAGAATAGTAATTAGATATTTCGGTTAACACAGATTGGAGGTTAATTGAAATAATTACAAGGGAGCAAGTACATATGCTTTGTTAAAACCTAACTTTTTCTGTTAAAATAAGTTGAGAAACAAAAAGCATGATTCTGCATTTTCAAGTCAATCTGATATTTAATGCATTCCATTTGTTTGTCAACTATTGTATTGTTAAATTATATTTTACTGTGTCTTTTTACTTGTACCATTGTACCAATGTACAGGGATGTGGTAAGTGAGGGCGCTTTATCAAAAAAAAAAAAAGTATAATAATACAATAATCATATTCTTCATCGTCATTGCTATTTTACAGGTAGCTCATTTTCCACAAATGCAAAGAAACACATGAAATGGTAACACCTTGTACAAGTAACCAACAATGCAGTCAGCAAAGAAACTGGGAGTGAAGGCATTATTATCACAGATTGCCTTGAGCTGTCAATATTCATTTATACTTACTTATAGCACTGTTATGTTTAACTAAGTTGTGTTCTAAATGCAATCCATTTTTATTTAAAGGAGCACTATAGGGTCAGGAACACAAACATGTATTCCTGACTCTATAGTGTTAACACCACCATCTAGCCCCCCTGGGCCCATCATGTCTCCCTAAATATAGCAAAATGTTACTTGTATTCAAGCCTGAAGCTGTAGTTCTGCTTGATGTTTGCCTCAGAATAGCAAGCTGTCTGCTGACATCATCAGAAGTGGTAGCCTGATCCAATCACAGTGCTTCTCCATAGGATTGGCTGAGACTGACAAAGAGGCAGATCAGGGGCAGAGCCAACATGACGCAAACACAGCCTTGGCCAATCAGCATCTCCTCATAGAGATTAATTGAATCAATGAATCTCTATGAGGAAAGTTCAGTGTCTGCATGCAGAGGGAGGAGATACTGAATGTTTGGATGCATTTTAGGCAGCCATGACCCAGGAATGATCTCTAACAGCCATCTGAGGAGTGCCCAGTGAAGTTATCACTAGGCTGTAATGTAAATACTGCATTTTCTCTGAAAAGACAGTGTTTACAGCAAAGAGCCTGAAGGTAATGATTCTACACACCAGAACAAATTCAATAAGCTGTAGTTGATCTGGTGACTATAGTGTCCCTTTAACTAAGTTTGTTTGTCATCGTTAAAAGACATGGCTTAGCTACTTTGTATCCACTTATAATTTCACTTTCAGGAACCAGAACGATCAGTAATTACAAACATAGATAATTACTGGACCTAGTGTTAGTGGGTGGATTGAGGTAGAAACCTGCCTTGTATGTCTGCTTTAAAAAAAAAAAGATGGACTACACATAATGTTTTATTGTAATGAATTCTGAAGCCTGTATTCCTACCAAAGAGTTCCAGAGGCTTCAGAACAAAGTTACTATTTTTGGATTTTCATGAATAAATGGGCCACATGTACAGGGTAATACAGCTTTGCTCTTAAGAATTAAGTTGTTATGGTTCAAGGAGGTCCCAGGCACCAGCTTACCATATATTGGATTTCATGGAAATTCGTCCATAAAGAGCATTTTGACCTAGAATAACACCTTTTTTTGCCTTGATAAATATTATATTTTGTTTATGTTGCAGTTATTTAACTCGTCCACTGGGATTTATACAGTAGGACAATGGTTCTAAAATGTGTTTGACATTCCGTACATGACTTAACTATGGCAATTCTTTCTCTAGTGTAATATAGTTATTACAAATATATTTAGCAAAATACGTTCTTAAGACTCTTATAATGTCATGGAGAGTCTACAGTGCGTTTGGGAAGGGAGTACACAATAAATACAGATACAGGTGATAAAGGAAAGGGGGAAGGACAGATAAGGGGTCAGCTAAACATAGATGAGAGCACTGAAGGTTTGAATATTTTATATTTTGTGGCATATAGTAATACATGGTCATTTGCAAAACTAGAATGGCTGGAAACTTTCTTTTACAATATATTGTGATTGTTACTCCCACTGCCTCTCTTAATGACCAATAAAATATGCTACCTTCTAGCCACCTTATATCTGGCTGCTACCAGTGTTAGAGAAGATGACAAACAATAGCAACTGTTACCTTGGTAATAACAATTCACAGCATCTTCAGAGACAACATTAATCCTACCCACAGCAGTTAATGAGTACACAATGTATACTCTGTACGGTGCCTGATGAGGGTTACACTCTGCAGAGTCTCTGTGTCCATGCTATGCTAGGTCCTGGGATTACATAAGGATTAACCATGATGTAACCATATGTTTGCATAAAACACACAGAGAAGGATTAAGAAGGGCCCCCTCCTAGAACTCTGGGCTTTGCTTCTGTGAGAGTTGTGTGTATGTGTTTGAAGGCTGAGAATTGTATATGTGATGGGGAGACTGAGTGGTATGCGTGTGAGAGTGTTGTGTGTGGAAGAAGCTAAAAGTTGTATGTGTGGAGAAGGCTAAACGTGCCTGTGTGTTGGTTGAGCCTATTGTGTGTGGTGGTTAAATTGTGTTTGCGTAAGGGAGTCTGAGTGTGTGTGTGTTTTTTTTTAAATTTTCCCCTGTTCTGCTTACCTTTTAGCAAGAGGAGTGTTATCCCTGTTTATTTAATGGAGGCACGCCAGATCCTTTTGGTGAGGTGGGGGAGTATTGTGGTCTTCACCAATATTGGGTGCAAATAACTTTAAGAACTCCCTTGGTCTCAATGTTTAGTGATTGCACAGAGCACAGGGGGACCGTGAGGGAGCTTTCAAATTGATCTTCACTCGCTAGAGGTGCAGACTGTGGCATGGCATCTCTGTCCCTTAAGCGCTAAATATAAGCTACGAATGACCAGGGATCCAATGTCTGTCGGTAATGTCTATCATACCTGAAGGGAGTCATAGTGGCCTTGAGTGAAAGACCTATAAACCAACACAGACCACAACACTTCCTAAATGTAGGGTAAGTGTAGCACAGAGCTCATGAGGAGCAACTTCACAGCTAGAACCCAAGCTCCGAGCCTCTGAGGCCGGGCCAGGATAGGCTACATATGCCACCTAACGTGTAATGCAGTTTAAAAAAAACAAAACATAAATTGCAGTTGTCACACTAACTACCACCATTCTCTAATTCTTGAAAACACTCAGTAGGAATGGAGATACATGTGAATACGCTGAGTACTGTCACTAGTGATCTGTAAGTATAGGGACACTAAATATGGTGTTCATAAATACCTCCCCAGCATTATTAGAATACCGTGCCTCGGTGCTATAAAATCAGAGTGATATGATATGATACCTCGTGTCCCAGGCAAACATAAAGAAAAGCAATCACAGCATAACCTTGTTGTTGGTGTTCCAAATGTTAAAAATAGTGCATTCTTCAAACAATCAAATCTTTAGTAAGGTCACATTGTACATAATTATTAATAATTAATAGTACAAGTGTTAATTATAATACTTAAAAGTAAATACATGAAATTATCTTGCATTGTTGAAAATCTAACTAGGAGAACCAGGAGACACCAAACTAAGTTGGGGATTTTAAATTTTTATTGAAAAAGAATAATGCAGATAAAAATATTACAAAAATAACAACATTAAACAGACGCTTATACAAAATTCAGTCTGCTCACTTACATAATGAGATTTATTCATAGAAAAAAAATAGAGAAAATATTTATTGACAATGCAAATAAAATATTTTTTTTTAAATCTGACCTTTTAATTTATTTAATGTTTAATAATTAACATGTATTTTTTTTTGCACACTAACATCTCCATTATGGAAATAACAAATACATCTATATGCTACGCACACCAGAATTATTTTCTTCACAAGAAAACTAACATTATTTATGCAATAAATGGATAGCGATTGTTTTTAAAGGTATACATAGTACAAAGAAAAAGTTTGAGTACACTTTCAGGAAACTGTATGAAAATTCATGTTTTCTCTGTCAAAACCTTTTGACAATGTACAAGCCATACTGTGCATCAGAACATGGTTGAAATAGTGTTAGTCAAAGAAAGACATTTAACCCCTTAAGTACACATGACATGTGTGACATGTCGTGATTCCCTTTTATTCCAGAAGTTTGGTCCTTAAGGAGTTAAAGGGAAATTGTCACTTCCCAGAACTTTCATTATTAAGATTACTGAATCCCAGTGGTTCTCAAACCATCCCTTGTTGCCTGGCGACAGTCTAAGATTTATGCATTTGCCTTTTTTTTATTCCAATTGAGATACTGACAAAACTTTCTGAGCCACGAGGACTGGCTTGGGAACAGTAACACATCCTGTAATATGTTTTCAATGTCTGAAAAATAAAATGAACAGGCTACCTCCATCTACGCTCTTTGACAGACATTGTTATACATGTTGCCCTTTTTTGCCATTGAAAGCAAACCAATGTTTCTGTTCATCTCCATATTTGTTTGCATTTTGTGCCCTGACCGTGCCTGGACTGAACTGACTTGTACTGTCACGTGCTAACTCTTTGAACTACATTTCAAAAGTCAATTGGCAGAGAAGTGAGCAATGAGACTACAGGGACATGATCGATACACCAAAACTGCTTCATTTAGCTAAAGTTGTTTTGGTGCCTATAGTATCCCTTTAAGGTAAATTTCTAAAAATGTTCATAATGCACTAGTTTATTTGTCAAAAGTATTATAAAGTTTCCCTTTCAAAGAAATTAATAATTAGATCAACATATCGATGGAACGCATAGGGAAAAAAAACATGTCTGGCCATCAAAACAGCTTTGTAGGCCTGGTGTTCATTTAATTCCTCTTCAAAAAGTGAACAGAAACCATTTCTCTTTACTAAAAACATGTTATTTTAATAATAGTTTCTACAGCTGCATTGTGTAATCACCGTCATGAGATCACTTCATGGATTTATTTAGGAGGGTGGCTAGAATTGATTGATGTCTCAGACCCATTCTGAAATTTCTGTGAAATGAAGTGGAGTGCCTCTCAATGATGTCTTGTCCATGATCACCATACTGTAGAGGTCTTTGCCAGGTGGCACAAACTTTAATTTCATCATACAAATGGAAAATTTAACTGTGCAGCGACGGGTCAGTGAATAATGTTGAATTATCCTGAATCATGCTGAATTATGCATTGAAGAAAATTGTAAAATACGAGGAGTCCACTGTGTTATTAATAGTCACTAATGTCTTAAATTGCTTGCACATATTGCATTCTGACATTGTCACAAGTGGCAAATGCTGCTACTTTGTTAATTCCATATACTTTTCTTACATTAAAGCCAATGTTCAAATCGTAAAAGTTCAGGCTGCCATTGCACGTAGTCCACTATAGAGTCATGTTTTAAGAACTTTAAGATGAAACCCACAAGATTGACAAATTAGTTCCATGATCGTGAGCAATCTGGTTGACTCTTCCACGCACACAATCCAAGGAAATAGATATCTTTGTTCCATTCTGAACATCAAAAGAAGAACGAAGTGAAATGCTAATCCACAAGCTACCTTCTGGCATCTGGCCACCAATTTGCTGAGCAACTACTGTTGGCGGCCCTTGGTCACTTTCATATCTATTTAGGGTCAGTTTAATAATATTGCACGAGTGGATTAATTTCAAGTTGAATGAAATACTAGCTGCACCCTTTTCAGTGAACATGAATGTTTTCTGGGCAAATGGCCCAGAAGTAACAAGTTGGATCGTTTTATCTTTTGATGAATCTTGACTAAAGCTCAAGAGCTTATTTCTTACTGCTCCAGTAGGTAATACTGAACTAGAAACTGAGGCTGTGATAGCAGTGGAAATTGCTGTAGGGATCCATATGAGACTCAAGGTGCTAATGCCAGAATTTTCTCCAAAATAACGAACATTGCACTGTGCTGGAGACAATATCTCGAAGCTTATCACATCACCACCATTCACTTTTGCTGCCCCTGAAGCAGATATTGATGTGTCCCTGTAGTTCACTCCAGATTTAAATACCTGGATAATCTCAGAATTAGATCCATTGCGATTTATGGATGAAATTAATGAAAATCCTTCACGGACACATGTTGGCCCCATTGAGTAGAGTGCTTGCTGAAAAGCAAACTTGACAACACCAGATTCAGTAAATTTAATGCTTCTTCCATCATGGGACAAGCTGATCATGTAGGGATCAGACACAGTTATGATTTTGAAGGAAGGTCTGTAATTTGTTTGGTAATGTAAAGCGGTGGACATTTGAGCATTCATGGCCACTGCACCAGTATCATGAGATAACCAAAACATGCTCAATGGGGTGATCAAGTCATAAATGTGTAGGTCTTTACTCTGATTGCAGAAATGGTTAGGACTTTTAAGAAACACTGATAACGTTTGGCTTGGCTCCACCTCTGCTGCACAGCTTATACTGATACTCTGGAAATATTTTGCTTCTGGTTGTTCGATACGCGAGCCACTTAGCTCATACCCTTCTTCACTGTTGTTAAGCTTTAAGGAGAGCTGCAGAAAATTTCTGCAGCTGTGCTTTACTGCAAAATTAATGTCGGTCCATAATAAACCATGCTGCTTGAATATCATTTGGTTTTCATTGGGTGACAAAATATCGCACTGCAACGTCTCCTTGATTTTGAGGTTTAATCCAGGATATATTTGTGAGTTTGCCATTTTAGCTAATGGTAGAGAAATACCAGCCGAGCAAGATTCTGATAGTTTGCTTTCACTTGCTGCTGTGCAGATGGTATCACTATCCGCTGTACATTGGAAGGCCACCACTCCTTCCTCACACTCCGAACACGCCTGGCATTCTTGTAACTCCTTATTAAAAAAATACTGGGCACCGCAGAGTCCTAAAGCCGCATCTTTCTCTGCAACTCCAAGACACCTGAATCCACCTATTAAAAAGCCACAAAAAAAACAACACATATCAATACACAGTATAGAGAGTATAATATAGAATATTACACTATACACAGATGTATTCACTAAACTCTGAACACATTGTAGCAAATTAAAATCTAAAGCTGATCTGCAAAAATTCTACTGCTTTGCTACAGTCACAACTTGCCAGTTTTAGGCAAAGTTCGTATGTTCACTGCAATTTGGAGTTTATTGCATAGCAATGGCAGGCTAGAGTACTATAATTCAATCTGACAATGTTTTTATTTAAAATTTGGCTTAAGTATACTAATTCTTTTTTTTAAAACCTTAATATACACAATATCCTTCCAAATGGTTTCAGATTTTTAAAGTGGTTTAAAGCAGAAAATAAAATTTAAAAAAATAATAACAGTATTTTCAATTTCAACAAATGATCTAGTCATACCTGGAGTATTTAAGCATTTAATTCTCTCGCCACATATAGTAGGTGCGTCCATGCATTCATCTCTGTCCTGAAAATATACAAATAGGACATTTTATTCATTACTAATATATATATTTTTTTTCATAAGGTATATTTGCACTAGTCAGTTAGAATCTCAGCTGCCTTTTTGGGTATCATTGTGAAATAAATAAAACCAATAGTCTTTAGAAGCTCACACATTGCTCTAATTGAGGTCTTCTAAGCATTCTATAAAGGGACCTGAGTATGTTTGCTCTTTTTAAGTCTCCTGTTTCTTCCTGTATTTTGCATGTTATAAGAAATAGCCGCTAGCTGATGTATGCACAGTGAAGAAAATTAAACTTCCTTTAATCTGAATATATTTAACCAATCTGGGCTCACGTTGATCTCTCTTTCAAGTCACAGGCAATTTAGATCTCAATTTGGCACTGGTTTCCTCAATGGAGGAAACAGACTGTGCTTTTAAAAGAGTGATTAAAGGCAAGATGGCTAATTTGGCTTTTAGTGCAGTTATATGTGTTGTTTTGGATACCAAAGGTTACATTTCCGCAGAAAGCAAGTATTCTTCAAATTGATGTATGATCACTTTGAAGCAGACTATTCATGGTAAGTTTAAGTTAACCTCCTGGATCCTTATAGTTCTTTATGCTAAATTCAAAAAGTATGAAATTAGGAAAATTAAACATTTTACAGTAGCTCAAAAAGGTAGGAAGAAAAAAAAATAGCAAACCTTTTTTTCTTATTTCATAAACCTTTGCAAATGTTTTTTTTTATTATTTGTTAGAACTTTTTATTTTATCCTTCAGATGTCCTTTGAGAATTGAATTTTTCAGACATATTTAGTTTCACTTAACATATTTTTCATTTCTGTGAAGTTATTTAGTGAATGGGTTCTCGTTTCTGCATCTTTGGCTTCGTGTTTATATATTTTAACTCCCCGGCCACATAAAGTTTATTCAGAAAATATACTTGTTATACCAACATTTATTTTGTGAGATAAATTGTAATTTTTCCTGGTAAGAACATGCAAAAGTCCTGTCCCCTCAATATTTTTGGAGGTTCTAGGAATTTTTCCCCAAATGTATTTTTTAATAGGAACTCTAAAGAATGGTGGCTTCAAATTAGAGAGTGGAACAGGATGTTCTTAGCTCTCTGATCCATAAATTACAAGCATGTGTAGTGAATACCAAGTCTCCCTGGCACAAAGACTCCAGTATAGTGCCAGCAAGCTGCCCATATAACTCCCAAACTGTAGTGCCAATGTAGAACTCAATCAGCCATCAGCCATGACCTACGTGCCATGTTAATAAATACAAATCTCTACTCTCCCAGTCCACTCCCCTAATTATGTTGTCTTAAAATACAGAAACAAAACTGAAATAATTATCTAAAAGTTTATAACGAACATCAGTTATTCATGGGTTTATGGAAATAAAACTTGATTTCTTGTCATTTTCAGATAAAATATCATTAATAGCTCAGCAAAAGGTTGGGCAAGAATAAAGGATGGCACATGTACTACCCAGGAACAGCATAGAACTAATGTACTGTATATTTAAATGTACAAAACATACACAATGTTTGCCAGCCATGAAATAAAGTTATATTGAACATTAACAGGAGCTCAAATTGTCTGCAAATGCATTGACTTTGGTTAGCATAGACCACATAGTAACACCCTGGCCAGTACCATTATTTTCACAATTTCCATGTATATATTAAATGGGCAAGAAAAATATATACAAAATAAATATAATACCAAAATAAATCAAATAAAAATAAAGAGCTGCTCCTCTCTCAGCCCCTATCCCTCTCAAACCCTCTCTTTCACACTACACACATACACAATGCATCCTTACACATACACAGAAACACACAATGAACCTCTACACGCACACACATGCACAGAAACATACAATGCATCCCTACTCACACACAGACACACCGAAACATACAATGCATCCTACACTCACACAGAAACACATCATGCTTCCCTTACACACACAGAACACACAATGCATCCATTACACACACACACAATGCATCCCTTTCACACATACACAGAAGCACACAATGCATACCTTACACATACACTGCATCCTTTACATACAAAAACGAACAATGCATCCCTTATGCACGCACGCGCACACACACACAAGCACACACTGCCTCTCTTACACACACAAACAGAAACACAATGCATCTCTTAGACACACTTAATGCACCCCTTACAGACACACACTACATTACATACACAGAAAAACACCTTGCATCCCTTACACATATAAACACAAAATCACACGATGCATCCCTTACACACACCCAGAAACACACAATAAATTCCATACACACAAACTCACACTGCATCCCCTATACACACACTACATCCCTTACACAAACTAGTATCCCTATACACTACATTCCATAAGAACACACACACATTACATCCTCTACAATAACACATAACACATCCTCTAAACACATACACTCCACTCCCTGTGAGCGAACTCATGGGTCGGCCATGTAAGTGGACTTATGGGTGGGCCTTTCAAGCATACTCACGGTCAGGCCTTGAGGGCTCAGACCTTGAGCCATGTAAGCGGCCCCAAAAAATGGAGATGCTTCCTGTTCGTTGATTTTTGTGAGCACTGTTACAAACAGCCTCCAGAGGGCCTTGTCAGGATCGTGACAGGGATCCAACACGCAGAATACAAACAGGGGATAGGTACGTATACCGGACCTTAGAATGGCCGGACTAACGTAAGGAGAAAGCAAAAGAATAGTCAGAGACAAGCCGAGGTCGAGGGAACGAGAGATCAGGTAAGCGAGAGACAAGCCGAGTCAAAAGGACAAGAGAGGAAAGCAGGGTCAAAATACAAGCCGAGTCAGGAACCAAAAGACAATAGAGGTAATTGCACTGAGTGACCAGACTAGCTAGAACCACGACAGGGCAATGAATCATTCCACAGAACCCTTTTTTATACCTTGGCTCTTTAACTGTTGGCTCCGCCCCCAACGGGTCCTGATTGGTTGTTCGGCACTTGGTTGCCGTGATTGACGGGTCGGAACGTGATTGCCGTCATGACGTCGGCTACTGAGCGCCGCGTCATAAAAGGAGGCGGAGCTATCGCGGCCGGCGTGTAAACGACCGGGAGGAGTGCAAGGATCGGGTGAGTCAGCCCCCCTGGGAGGATGGACGTCTAGGTGTCTAACCTCCTCCGAGGTAGACACCAAAGGTACCCTGACAGTACCCCCCCTCTCAGAAACGCCCACCGGGCGGAAGGAACCGGGGCGGGACGGAAAACGAGCATGAAATGCCCGGAGGAGACGAGGGGCATGCACATTTTCATGGACCACCCAAGACCTTTCTTCAGGCCCATACCCCTTCCAGTCAACAAGATATTGCAACTTCCCCCGAGAAATACGAGAATCGAGAATGGATTTGATTTCATATTCCTCCTGACCCTCAACCTGGACAGCGAGAGGGGAGGACTCAGGGGAGGAAAATCTGTTGCAAACCAAAGGCTTCAATAAAGAAGCATGAAAAGAGTTAGGGATGCGCAGGGCAGGCGGAAGGGCAAGACGATAAGCAACCGGGTTAATCCGACACAGAACCTTGTAAGGGCCTATGTAACGAGGGGCAAATTTCATGGAAGGAACCTTCAAGCGGATGTTTCTGGTACTCAACCACACCCTATCACCCGGGGCAAAAACCGGAGCCACCCGTCTTCGTTTGTCAGCGTGTCGTTTGAACACCATGGAATTCTGAAGAAGAATTCGTCGAGTCTGATCCCACAACTTTCTCAGATTGGCGACATGAACATCAACCGACGGAACCCCTTGGGAAGGGGAAACCGACGGAACCCCTTGGGAAGGGGAAACCGACGGAAGAATGGAAGGATGAAAGCCATAATTCAAGAAAAAGGGGCTAGAACGAGTAGAATCACAAACGAGACTGTTGTGTGCAAACTCTGCCCAAGGAATCAGACCAACCCAATCGTCCTGGTGTTCAGAAACAAAACAACGCAAATATTGTTCAATCTTTTGGTTGGTGCGTTCGGCAGCTCCGCTGGACTGGGGATGATAGGCAGAGGAGAAGTTCAACTTGATGCCTAAGTGAGAACAGAAAGACTTCCAAAAGCGGGAAACAAATTGGGAACCTCTATCAGAAACAATTTCAGAGGGAATACCATGTAGACGAAAAATCTCCCTCGCGAATATCTCAGCTAATTCGGGAGACGAGGGCAGTTTAGGCAAGGGCACGAAATGAGCCATTTTAGTAAACCTGTCAATCACCGTGAGAATAACAGTATGTTTTTTAGAAACAGGCAAATCGACAATGAAATCCATAGCCAAACACGACCATGGTCTCTCGGGAATTTCTAAGGGATGCAAAAGTCCACAAGGGAGCGCGTGAGGTTGCTTAGTCTTCATACAGACAGCACATGCCCTGACGAAATCCCTTATATCCTTACGAAGGGAAGGCCACCAGAAATCTTTAGAAATCAGGGAACACGTTTTGCGTGTGCCGGGGTGCCCAGCAATTTTACTGTCATGAAAGCAATGCAGCAGTTCCACTTGGAGCTCAGGAGGAACGAAGTATCGATCCCCAGGAACAGGTTTGGGAGCTAGATGTTGTACTTTCTTGATCTCAGCAAGCAACGGCGAGTGTATCCTGACACAAGTGTTGGCAATAATATTACACTTAGGAACGATAGAAGACAAAGCTGCTTCAGACACCGTAGAGGGTTCATGTTGACGGGACAATGCATCTGCCTTAGAGTTCTTAGAACCAGGTCTATAAGTGAGCACGTAATTGAAATGTGTCAGAAACAAGGACCAACGAGCTTGCCTGGTGGACAAGCGCTTGGCCTCCCCTATGTAGGACAAATTCTTGTGATCAGTCAAAATAGTAACCGGGTATAATGTCCCCTCCAACAAATGTCTCCATTCCTTTAAAGCCATAATGACCGCTAACAGTTCCCTATCACCAATGTCATATCTACTTTCAGGCCCAGATAATTTCTTGGAAAAAACCCCACAAGGATGTAACGGTTTATCCAAACCTAGCCTTTGGGACAAGATAGCGCCTATACCTGTCTCCGAGGCGTCAACCTCGAGTAAAAAAGGCAAAGATGTGTCAGGATGAACTAATATCGGTGCTGAGGCAAAATGTTCCTTGAGAGTTTTGAAAGCAGAGAGAGCCTCTGTGGACCAAGTCTTGGTATCAGCCCCCTGTCTAGTCATATTAGTAATAGGAGCAATAATAGAAGAGTAGCCTTTAATGAAGCGCCTATAATAATTGGAAAATCCGATAAATCTCTGAATGGCCTTGAGTCCCCTGGGCAATGGCCAATCTAAAATCGATTGGAGTTTAATGGGGTCCATCCTAAATCCGTCTCCAGAAATAGCGTAGCCAAGAAAGTTTATCTGAGATTGGTCGAAGCTACACTTTTCCAATTTGCAGTACAATCCATGTTGTAACAGTTTGCGCAGTACCCTTCTGACTTGTCTGTGGCGAGTCTCAATCTCTCTAGAGTGTATTAGTATATCATCCAAATATACTATAACGCATTCATGCTGAAATTCCCTAAGAACCTCATTAATTAGGTCCTGGAATACTGCAGGTGCATTGCAAAGCCCGAAGGGCATTACCGTGTATTCATAGTGGCCATAGCGGGTATTGAAAGCTGTTTTCCATTCGTCTCCCTGCTGAATTCTCACCAAGTTATAAGCTCCCCTCAAATCTAACTTGGTAAAAATCTTGGAGCCTTTCAGTCGATCAAAGAGCTCAGTAATTAAAGGAATAGGATAAGCATTTCTAACAGTTATCTTATTCAAGCCCCGATAATCAATGCAAGGCCGTAGAGTGCCGTCTTTTTTATCTACAAAAAAGAAACCGGCCCCGGCCGGAGAAGATGATCTTCTAATAAAACCTTTGTCTAGGTTTTCACGTATGTACTCCTCTAGGACTAAGTTTTCCTTAGTGGATAAAGGATATACCGTACCCCTCGGAGGCATAGTACCAGGTAGGAGTCTAATTTTACAGTCGAAAGACCTATGTGGAGGTAAAGTATCAGCCCTCTTTTTGTCAAAGACTGCCTTTAAATCCTGGTACTGTGATGGTATCTGTAAATCTGTAGGTTGGGAAGAGTTAACCGGGGCGTCAACCCTGCAAATTGGTGAGACTTTCTGCACACATCCTTTCTGGCAACCCTGACCCCAGGAGACTATCTCACCCAGTTCCCAGTCAATGATAGGGTTATGCTTCTTAAGCCAGGGATACCCCAAGACTATAGGAACTGAAGGAGATGAGATCAGCATGAGGGATATTCTTTCCTCGTGAAGGATACCAGTGGTTAACTTAATTGGTATGGTTTCACGAAAAATCACAGGTTCAGATAATGGTCTACCATCTATGGCCTCAGCGGCCAAGGGTGTATCCCTTAGCTGAGATGGGATAGAATGGTTAGTGACAAAGGCTTGGTCAATAAAGCTTTCAGCTGCTCCGGAATCTATCAAAGCCATAGCATTAAGTACTCCCCTTTCCCAAGCTAAAGAAACAGGTATCAGAAGCCTATGATCTTTATAATCATAAATAGAGGACAAGATAGAAACACCCAAGGCCTGTCCTCTTGAGAAACTTAGGTGCGAGCGTTTCCCGGCCGGTTAGGGCAATTTAGGCGTAGGTGACCTCTAATTCCGCAATACATACAAAGACCCTCCCTTCTCCTGTACTGTCTTTCCTCCTCTGAGAGTCGAGTATGACCTATTTGCATAGGTTCTGGGAGAGCTAAAGTAGTAGAATCAGAAGTCTGAAATGAGGGAGCTAGTCTTATGGAGGATCTGCGGGTTCTATCCCGAATATTCTGCCTCTGTCTCATACGTTCATCTATTCGGGAAATAAATGAAATCAGATCCTCCAAATTTTCAGGAAGATCTCTTGTGGCCACCTCATCTAAAATCTCATCAGATAACCCGTTCATAAATACGTCCATATAAGCCTGTTCATTCCACTTGACCTCTGCCGCCAAGGATCTGAACTCCAAGGCATAATCCACTAGGGTTCGGTTATACTGTCTAAGACGTAACAGTAGTCTAGCTGCATTGGCCTTTCTTCCTGGAGGGTCAAAAGCTCTCCTAAATGCAGCGACAAAAGCATTATAATTATAAACTAACGGGTTATCATTTTCCCACAGGGGGTTAGCCCATCTAAGTGCCTTGTCAATGAGCAAGGTAATTATAAATCCAACCTTTGCCCTGTCAGTAGGGTAGGCGTGGGGTTGTAATTCAAAATGAATACCAATCTGGTTTAAAAAACCTCGACAAGTGTCAGGAGCGCCGCCATAGCGTGACGGGGACGTAACACGGGAAGAAGTAGCCACTGTGGCTACCTCTAGGCCTGTACGTATAGGAGAGATAGATGGGGTACGCATCTCCTCTGAGTGACTACTAGGACGAGATAGCAATGCTTGCAGAGCTAGAGCCATCTGGTCCATTCTATGATCCATGGCCTCAAATCTAGAGTCAGGAGAACCGACCTGAGAGTTTGTACCTGCAGGATCCATTGGCCCTGTCGTAATGTCAGGATCGTGACAGGGATCCAACACGCAGAATACAAACAGGGGATAGGTACGTATACCGGACCTTAGAATGGCCGGACTAACGTAAGGAGAAAGCAAAAGAATAGTCAGAGACAAGCCGAGGTCGAGGGAACGAGAGATCAGGTAAGCGAGAGACAAGCCGAGTCAAAAGGACAAGAGAGGAAAGCAGGGTCAAAATACAAGCCGAGTCAGGAACCAAAAGACAATAGAGGTAATTGCACTGAGTGACCAGACTAGCTAGAACCACGACAGGGCAATGAATCATTCCACAGAACCCTCTTTTATACCTTGGCTCTTTAACTGTTGGCTCCGCCCCCAACGAGTCCTGATTCGTTGTTCGGCACTTGGTTGCCGTGATTGACGGGTCGGAACGTGATTGCCGTCATGACGTCGGCTACTGAGCGCCGCGTCATAAAAGGAGGCGGAGCTATCGCGGCCGGCGTGTAAACGACCGGGAGGAGTGCAAGGATCGGGTGAGTCAGCCCCCCTGGGAGGATGGACGTCTAGGTGTCTAACCTCCTCCGAGGTAGACACCAAAGGTACCCTGACAGGCCTGTTCTACACCAGAAAAGTGGAGCCAGACTGCAGCCTGAGCCCATCATCATCCTCTTGTCCTCATCTGGTGGTAAATAGGCAATCCAGTATATTGTTAGTGGCACTAATCTCTAATTTACCTCACATTAAAGGGACAATAAAGTCACCAGAACCACTACAGCTTAATGTAGTGGTTCTGGTGTCTATAGCCTGTCCCTGCAGGCTTTTTAATGTAAACACACTGCCTTTTCAGAGAAAAGACACTGTGTGCAGAACTGGCGTTGGCTCATATGGCAGATCATACGGGTGGGGCATTGTGATGTCACATGGTGGGCAGAGAATATGGGGGGCGGCAAATCTTTGTTTGCCTAGGGCAAATTTTTGTTTGCACCGGCCCTGGGCTGACATGACTACCATACACAGGGAGCTGCAGGGCCTGATAGGCTACCTTGGAGCACTAGAAACTGCATCTAATAATGGCACAAGGCAAATTATATTGTGTCAACAAGCATTCCACGAATTACAGCAACAGAATCTAACATATGAGTGCCGCTTCACGGCCCAAGAGAACTTACGCCACTGGAACGACCTTAAAATCAGGGGGATCCTGGAAAGCATCCGTGAAGCTGAGCTACCACACTTTGTAAGGCATCTGCTGGCAGCCTTGCTGACACCTCGACAGGCCAAAACAATGGCGATCTACGGCATATTCCGGATACCCAAACCGGCAAAGGCACCAACTACAGTCCCAAGAGACCTAGTAGTCCAATTCAAAATAGGAAGGACAAAATAGCAGTACTGACTACTATAAAAGGCAAGTCACCTTACAACTTCGAAGAGATGGTGTTAACCTTCTATGCCTACCTCTCAGGCAGCACTCTGGCATGGCACCAGGAACTTTAACCACTCACTTCTCTCCTACAACAACACAAAATTCGTTACCGCTGGCGAATCTCTCACTCCTTGACTTTCTTCCATGGAGACACAACTAATACTGTCCAAGACTTCCAGGAAGCCTACAAGGTATGGGACTCCCCGTGATCACTGGACAAGCCACAACTGAGCACACAAACAAAGAATCCACAGTTCAGCATATGAACATCTTACATCTTTGAAAAAAGCCTGTGTTAACCTGCCTATTTAGTTCTTGTGTTTTGCTATGTATGCCTCATGTCTACCTGTGGCAAAAATACAGATTTTTTTTTTTTTTTTTAAAGAACAAAATAATAACAGAGCAATAGACCACATCTCCTGCCTTAAATACTTTGCAGTTGTGCAAATCATTTCATATCCTCTGCATTTGTATTTTCCACTAGACTAGGACATTGCCATTATCACTGTAAATCCAGGAGTAATAGTGAATATATGAATAGAAGGATGCACACTCTGGGTGTCATGGATCATGAGACACACCATGCCAGCTAGCTACCCATCTAAGAGAGATTTATGAAGAGAAATACAGGAACTACACAAGCGTCAACAAATCCAAAACCATGTCTTTAGAACAGTCAGACAGGTTTACAGATACAGAATGGCAACAAATAACAGAATAATTATTGAAAACTTAAAAATTCTAAATGTTTGGACCATGAAGATGGAATTTTAAAACCTTAGTATAAACACCATTCTTGCTCAAGTTTTAAAACTGCACCTAACTTACCATGGTACATTAACACTAGTTAGCCATGAATCCATGGAATAAACTCTCCCATATTTGGTTCTTTTAAACAAACTATCAATATTTTATATCATTATGTTTAACCCCTTAAGGACGGAGCCAAATGTACACATTGTGAACAAAACAAAATGTAAACAAAACCTGGCATTTGCGCTACATGTCTGTCCAACCGTAATACACCTCTTTCATAGTAAATGCACCCACCCTTATTATATATCATTTTATTCAGGGGAAACAGGGCTTTCATTTAATATCAAATATTTAGCTATGAAACATAATTTAATATGAAAAAAATGGGAGAAAATAAGATTTTTTTTTATTTTTTTAGTTCTACATGACATTTTAACGGTCAATGTCATAATACTGTTTGCTTTTACTGCAATAAAATACACATATTTGTATTCAGCAAAGTCTCACGTGTAAAACAGTACCCCCTATGTACAGGTTCTATGGCGTTTTGGGAAGTTACAGGGTCAAATATAGCACGTTACATTTGAAATTGAAATTCGCCAGATTGGTTACGTTGCCTTTGAGACTGTATAGTAGCCGGGAATGAAATTTACACCCATAATGGCATACCATTTGCAATAGTAGACAACCCAAGGTATTGCAAATGGGGTATGTCCAGTCTTTTTTAGTAGCCATTTGGTCACAAACACTGGCCAAAGTTAGCGTTAGTATCTGTTTGTGTGAAAAATGCAAAAAAACGCCAATTTTGGCCAGTGTTTGTGACTAAGTGGCTACTAAAAAAGACTGGACATACCCTGTTTGCAATACCTTGGGTTGTCTACTATTGCAAATGGTATGCCATCATAGGGGTAATTTTCATTCTTGGGCTACCATAGGGTCACGAAGGCAACGTAACCAATCTGGTGAATTTTAATGTGAAAAAATGAAACACAAGCCTTATATTTGATGCTGTAACTTTTGAAAACACCATAAAACCTGTACATGAGGGGTACTGTTGTACTCGGGAGACTTCGCTGAACACAAATATTTGTGTTTAAAAACAGTAAAAAGTATTGCAGCAATAATATCATCCGTGTAAGTGCTGTTTGTGCGTGAAAAATGCAAAAAACTTCACTTTTACTGGCGATATCATTGTTGTAATACATTTTACTGTTTTGAAACACTAATATTTGTGTTCAGCGAAGTCTCCCGAGTAAAACAGTACCCCAATTTACAGGTTTTATGGTGTCTTGGAAAGTTATAGGGTTAAATATAGTGCTAGCAAATTAAATTCCCTATACTTTCGGCATGGGTTGTCAGGCAGGTCCCGCTAATTGTAATTAATTAGGATACCTAATTATGTAAAAATATTACATAAATATATGTGTAGAATTAATATATGTATATATATACATATGTATATATACATATATATATATATATATAATTTTTTTTAATATTTTTATTTATATATAGGTGTATATATATAGTGATATATACGTATATATTTATGTATATAGATATATATATTATTTCGTTCTACGTGTATTTTGATATAAATATATATATATTAATATCACAATACAGTTAGAACGAAATAACAAACATCTATATATTTTTTTATTATTTATTTTTAATTATTTTTTTAATTTTATTTTTTTTACGTATTTACATTTTTTTATATTATATATAAATATATATATATAACAATAATTATATATATATATATTAAATCAGTATTAGTCTACGTGTAATTTGATAGTAATATATATAAATAATTATATATATTAATATTTAAATACACTTCGTGTATGTGTAAATGTGTGTGTGTGTGTGTGTGTGTGTATATATATATATATATACTTAGATCATATATATATAATATATATGATCTAAGTATATATTTTATTTGTAACTGTAATTTTTTTTTTTTAACTAATATTTTTTTTTTTTTACAGGACAGGGGGCAGAGACAGTGTCAGCCAGTGATTTTACATCACTGGCTGACACACAGGATCAGTGATCACAGTGACTGCCTGTCACTGTGATCACCTCCTGCAGATTGGGTAATTGGCCACAGGGGGGAGTGCCTGGGTGGTACAAGCACTCCCCCCTTCCAATCTGCAGGGGATCTTTGTGCCTGTTACATGTGTCAGCCAATAGGCTGACACATGTAACACTGATCGCAGTGACAGGCTGTCACTGCGATCAGAGCGCTCTGAGATCGCAGTGACAGCCTGTCACTGCGATCTCAGAGCTAGCAGATCACGGTCACTGACCCCAGGGGGACTGCCTGGGGGGCCAGGTAAGACCCCCGACCGCCAGGGGCGTTTTAGCCGCGAGGCAAACAAGGCATTTGCCTTGGGCGGCATTTTTCAGGGGGCGGCAAAAAACGCCGCCCCCCAAATGCCCAGGCAAATGCTTTGTTAGCCTCGCGGCTAACTGACCGGCTGGGCTGGCGGGCGGCGCTGGGCAGGCGGCTGGCGAGGGAGCTCTTCCCCTGAGCGGTCCGCTCAGCTCCCTCGCGCGCCGCAGAGTGAGGCTGGGAACCGGAAGATGACGTCATCTTCCGGCTCCCAGCCTCACTTTGCGGCGCGCGAGGGAGCTGAGCAGACCGCTCAGGGGAAGAGCTCCCTCGCCAGCCGCCTGCCTAGCCCAGCCGGCATCCACTGGACCACCAGGGAGGTAATGAACCCCTCCCCCCCAGCACTCCCAAAGGTAAGGGGGGGCTAAATATAAATAAATAAATGTGTTAATGTGACTGAGTGAGTGTGTGTCTGTTAATGTGTGTGTGTTTTGTTAGTGTGTGTGTCTGACTGTGTCTGTTAGTGTGTATGTCTGTGTGTCAGTGAGTGTGTGTTTGCCTGTATGTGTGTCTGTTAATGTGTGTGTGTTTGTTAGTGTGTGTGTGTCTGCTAGTGAGTGAGTGTGTCTGTTAGTGTGTGTGTCTGACTATGTTTGTCTGTTAGTGTGTCAGTGAGTGTGTGTGTGTGTCTGACTGTGTGAGTGTGTTTGCCTGTGAGTGTATGTGTTAGTGAGTGTGTGTCTGTTAGTAAGTGTGAGTGTGTCTGTTAGTGTGTGTGTGTTTCTGTTAGCGAGTGTATGCGTATCTGTCAGTGAATGTGTGTGTGTGTATTTAGAAGGCGGGGGGTTGGTGCAGGGGGGGTTGGCGCGGGGGGAGGGGGGGGCGCCTGCGTTTTGTCCTGCATAGGGCAGCACAAAACCAGGATACACCACTGCCGACCGCGATCTGGGGTAGCCGCTGGCCACGTGTGTCAGCCGATTTGAAATCGGCTGACACACGTTAAAAAACTGATTGCAGTGACAGCCTGTCACTGCGATCAGTGACTGCAGATCGCGGTCACCAGCCACAGGGGGGGTTGCCTGGGGGGCCGGGCATCCCCCCCGACCGCGATCTGCAGCGGGCGACTAGCGCCGGCCGCATGGGCGGCCATTAAAGTGAGGGCGTACTATTACGCCCGCCGGCGTTTAGAGCCGGCTCCTGCAGGGCGTAATAGTACGCCCTCCGTCCTTAAGGGGTTAAAGCACTAAAAGTGTCTGTCCTTCAGCAATACACAGAGCAATTGTGCATGTTTACCAGTCAATGAAAAGAAAATGATTTGGCTCACCTGACAAATCCGATCAATGTTTTCAGAACATTCGGACAACTGAAAAAAACCAGCAGGACACAATGTGCATTTTTCACATTGAGGGGGTGTCTTTTGAAAACTACAAAATTCATCAGTTTGACATAAGCCACAAGTCAGCTCTGGTTCTCTGACATCAATCACTTTCATATCTACATCCACCTTGTGCACAGAATACGTCTTCTGGAGATGATTTCTGACCTGGCTCTGGAGTCCTTGGAGATGTGCTTCAAAGTAATGTTGAATGTCTTCTTGCAAGCTCTGGAAAGACATTTGTTTTACCGTATCAAACAAAATGCTATATTGCACCTTAATCATGTCCATTTGCTCATACATTTTCCGCTGCTGATCAATAATTTCTCTCTGTTGGCTAACTAGTAGGTTTTGCTGTTCCGATAGTTTTTGCTGCAATTCTGTGATTGTCTTTTGTTGATTTTTTAGTGATTCTACAAATTTCTCTTGGCCTTTTGTGAGTTGCAGCTGAAGAATTAGCGCGTCTTCTGAGGGTACTTCATTTTCTCCTACAAAACAGTGAACATGTAGAAATGATTTATGAATATCAGAATTAGTACTTTTTATATTTATGAATATTAGACTTAATATTTTTTAAATGCATTTTCTTGTTTTCTGATTGCACAGTCATTGTCTCTCAAGGGAGGAGAGATATTCAATTTCACCAGATATCAGGTCCGGACTGGCCATAGGGATAACCGGGTAGTCTTAGTACTGCAATGTAAACATTGCAGTTTCTCTTGAACTGTTTTACATTGTAGCACTAAGTGCAATAGGGACACAGCACCCAGACTACTTCACTTAGCTGAAGTGGTCTGGGTGCCTACAGTGTCCCTTAAAGCAGTAAAGCTTAAATCATTACTCAAAGCTCTAAGATCAATTCACGGATTTGAACTGAGCATGTTGATTGAAGTCTGTATGTGCAGAGATTCACTATAAAATGCTGCACATACAGAATTTAACCCCTCTGCTGCCCATGTTATAACTCCACCTCTGGCAGGTCATTGGGGCATCATTAGCCAGCCCAGTTGCAGGCTGGCTAAAGTCGGTTCTGTGCATGTTTGTCATCTATCATCAACATGCTGCCGCTAGACAGCCAGTGGTGGCATTTCCTAACCCAGGCATTGGAAACCTTTGGCACTCCAGATGTTTTGGACTATACCTCCCATGATGCTTTACCAGAAACATGGGTGTAAGAGTATTATGGGTGATGTAGTCCACAACATCTGGAGTGCCAAAGGTTGCCTATCTCTGTCCTAACCCATACTGCTAAATTCCATTCCTCTGCCAAAGTCCACCTTCTGACATCTCTCCCCTCCTAGTGAGGGTGAGTGATTTTTCAACTGGAGAATTGGGACGGGAAAAAACTTGGCCTTGACACTGGAATGGAGATTGGTTTTATCTACTTTTTTCCCTTTCTTTTTATGTGGGACCATGATAAGTAGGGTTAGCCTGACCAAAAACAGCGTTTTCTTAAATCCAACCCTCAAAATAAATTTTTAAACCACAGAATACACTTTTCTAACAATTAACCAAACTCTGAAAATTTTAAAAGTGTTGATGGATAAGCTGAACTAATTCTACAAATACCTCAGCAATGTCAACAAACTTAATGTAATGCTTCCTCTTTAATCAAAGCAAAAAATTAAGGACAAATAAGCACTGTAACATCAAAATACCATAGCAGAAATCACAACACAACAAGCACACTCGTAGCGTTTACCCAAAATGTTTGATTACAATATGCTGAAAAAAAAACATACACACATTATAATGTCAATATGGAACAAGTCCAAATATCAACACGCTTATCAGACATCCCAACATTTCATATGGACAAAAAGGGACACTTTAATTGGATGTAAGCCAGGGGCAGGGTTATTCTGAAAATATTTCAAGTGACTTACCGATAACAATTTACAGTGAGGGAAAAAAGTATTTGATCCCTGGCTGATTTTGAATGTTTGCCTACTGACAAAAAAAAATGATCAGTCTATAATTTTAATGGTAGGTGTATTTTAACAGTGAGAGACAGAATAACAAAAATAAAATCCTGAAAAACGCATGTCAAAAAACTTGTAAATTGACTTGCATGTCAATGAGTGAAATAAGTATTTGACCCCTTCGACTTAGTACTTGGTGGCAAAACTCTTGTTAGAGCAGATGTTTCTTTTAGTTGGCCACCAAGTTTGCACACATCTCAGGAGAAATTTTGTCCTTCTCCTCTTTGCAGATCCTCTCGAAGTCATTAAGGTTTCGAGGCTCTCGAGGCAATTCGAACCTTCAGCTCCCTCCACAGATTTTCTATGGGATTAAGATCTGGAGACTGGCTAGACCACTCCAGGACCTTAATGTGCTTCTTCTTGAGCCACTCCTTTGTTGCCTTGGCTGTGTGTTTTGGGTCATTGTCATGCTGGAATACCCATCCACGACCCATTTCGATGCGTTGGCTGAGGGAAGGAGGTTCTCACACAAGATTTGATGGTACATGGCCCCGTCCATTGTCCCTTTGATGCGGTGCAGTTGTCCTGTCCCCTTAGCAGAAAAACACCCCCAAAGCATAATATTTCCACCTCCATGTTTGACGGTGGGAACTCCAAACACGGCGAGTTGAGTTGATGCCAAAGAGCTCAATTTTGGTCTCATCTGACCACAACACTTTCACCCAGTTCTCCTCTGAATCATTCAGATGTTTATTGTCAAACTTCAGACGGGTCAACATGTGCTTTCTTGAGCAGGGGTACCTTGCGGGCGCTGCAGGATTTCAGTCTTTTATGGCATAGTGTACCAATTGTTTTCTTGGTGACTATGGTCCCAGCTGCCTTGGGATCATTCACAAGATCCTCCTGTGTAGGTCTGGGCTGATTCCTCACAGTTCTCAAGATTATTGAAATTCCACGAGGTGAGATCTTGCATGGAGCACCAGACCAAGGGAGACTGAATATTATTTTGTGTTTCTTCCATTTTTTATTAATGACTGTTGTCACCTTCTCACCAAGCTGCTTGGCGATAGTCTTGTAGCCCATTTCAGCCTTGTGTAGGCCTGTGTGTGTGTGTGTGCGTGCGTCTAGTAGTGTGTATACATGTGACCTGCAGTGTGTGTGTCTGACATTGTGTATGTAAAAATAAATGATGGACGTGCACTCAGCCCTTCATCTAGGAATCCCAGTACCAGTATGGACCAGATATAAGGTTAACAATTGTAGAAAGCTTGATAAAGACCCTGAGGGGTTGAAACGTTGCTGTGTAACTTCTGGTTCTAATAAAATTGCCTATTTTTGGAATTCGTTGGAGTGCCTGGATTACTTTCTACAATTGTTGACATTGTGTATGTGTCCAACATTATGTGTGTGTCTTGCTATGGGTTTTAGTGTGTAGCTGTGTTTTTGTGTGCTTGTGTAAGTGTGTGTGTTTAATCCCCATTCATGCTGCCTGGAGCATTGCTATGGCAACTGGGGACAGGGCACTCATTGCTCGCAAGAGGAGAGGGCCTGCTGCTGGAAGTGAAAGATGAGACCCCTGGGCCCCCTCTTCATTGTACAAGCCAGCAAGGGCCCACAACTGAATATATATATATATATATATATATATATAGTAGTACTTATTTAGTATATATATATATATATATATATATAACCAAGAGAATGCACTCACCTGAACATGCATTATAATTACATTATAGAGTGCTGCTGGGGCCAATTCAGACAACATGCAAAATACAGCGCACTCACTCATTCACTAAAGAGCAATTTCAAGTCTCACAGAATATGAGATTTATTTAAAAACACCTCACCTAGGCAAAAAATTATGGGGGTTTGGTTACAGTATATGATCAAAGATTGCATAGATCATAGATTGCATAAGGCATGGGTTCCATCGGGACCCATGCACTGGCCAGCCCTGCCACGAGGTGGCTCTGCCTAGCTATCATCAGGGAACCCTCAATCCAGTGCCTGGCTATTCTGTAACCCCCCTTTGTCTAACTATTTCCTTCCCAGTCTTCATTTTTTTGGGATTTCTGGACTCCAAACCCTTGGACATTTACAAATCATCTTTGTTTGTCCTAAAACCTGGACCTTACCTGATGACATTACTGGATTGCCCACCTCTAGAACTGATGTATTGGATTATCTTGCTACTGCAACCTGTCCTAGCCCTTACACTGTCTCATTGCTATCTTATTAAAGTCCTTGTTTCTTTGTTAACTTAAGGACCTGTTCCATATCTTTTAAGGTGTGCAGCTATGTGTAACTGGGTTCTAGTGGCATATCAGGTCTATACACCCATATACCCTTTGGCAAAACTTTGGCTATCTTGGCCACCATGTTGCTAGGCAGCTACTCATAATAAATCAATGTTTAGCGTCCCCACTGTATATTTAACTTTGTTATACACCTTGACAAGCAAAAGCAATCTATATCATTTTACATAATACCAGGCACAGTCCTTAAGATGTAAACACAGCATTTAATGAGCACCTAAGTGAAATTTAAAGAGATGGAAAACATATGTGCACTTTTGAGCCCTAGGGTATTATTTTACAATAATGGGAAGAATGCAAAGAGCACCAGACAGTTTGTGCAGTAATTCCTTCCCAGGCAAACTAATGTCCAACTTAAAAAATTTTTTAAAAAAATGAGAATTCCTACTATTACAGTAAACTAGATACATAACTTACTCTACACACAGTGCCAGACCACTTCTAGATTTTTTAAGAGTTTTTCATATACACGACAAATCAAAGAAAATAATAAAGCCCTCAAACAAATGACAACAGGAGGTCTATACAATGAAAGAAATAGTCAGATCTCTAAGAACGTTCTAATATTTTAATACTTTTCTTTGAAAAACTCAAAAGGTTCTGGTTCGATTGTTGGAGATGCATGTATTATTAGAGTAAAGCATAATAGCTTGTTTAATTTACTTTTAACATGTTGGGGGAAATTTAGAAAAATTTTGCTAAAAGAAAATTGAGGAAAAGATCAAATAATTGATCAATCACCGTGGAAACCAATGGAATCAATTGGACATTTCTTCAGTTTTCAAGTTTCCTTATTATAACTTTGAATTACTTTTCTATTACTTACTAGTGCTTTAACCCCTTAAGGACCAAACTTCTGGAATAAAAGGGAATCATGACATGTCACACATGTCACGTGTCCTTAAGGGGTTAAAAAGTCACCCCTGTTTGTTTACTTTGCAATGCAGTCTGTTATAAAGAAGCAGTGATGGACCACAAGAGACAAATGATACTGTTTTAGAATTTCTTATCTATCAGCACTAAGTAAAAGCCTTAAAGACATAACTTTTCAGATCTGAGTTTAAGGAAAATAGCGAATGGTGCGTCTAATCCCATCTGTTGACATACCAGGGCAAAAGGGAATAATTAAGTAAGCAGTCACTCAATACATCAAATCTAATATACCCCAGGGAAAACGTTTAGATACATTGAAACATAATGCTGACTTTAGAACAAATATTGCTTCTTCTAGAATTGTACCCTTGGCTCACAATTCATAATAATGTAGACCACATGGAAAAGCATACAATAATTTAATAAATCACTCCTCAAAAACTAGCTCATAGAAATATAAAATAAAAAATATTTAAAATAGATCACAGATATAGAAAAACGAATACAAGTTTGACCTCTTACTAGATGGGTTTGTAAAATTGCCAGTTGTAGATCAAACATCCAACAAGCTGATGTGATATGTTATATATCGAGAGCCTTATTCAAAGATTATTTAATGGGAAGATGAAACCAGGAATGAATACAGAGGGGAGCATCTGATCTCTTATTCGTATAAACAAAACAGAACAGATTGCTACAATATGTTATTAAACTAGTTTGAAAAGACTGTTTTTTTATGCTTGGAGTCTGGAATTTATTGAACCCTTTCCATCTAGGATGGGTGTCAGTTCCTTGTATCTACAGTACTCTTCTACAAAATAATGTTTTCTTATTTTATCAAAATCTGACTCTCAACAACCTCTAAGCTAAGCATTATTAGTGATAATTCATTAAGCACTGTCTCTACATTTTACCCATTAAAGAGTATTCTCTCTCGCTTCTTTGAAGAAATGTTTCTCTTTTTTAATATATGGGAACAGGTGAACTACATATATTTTCTATGCTATAGGTTAATATATAATTTCAAAGACCCTGGAGGTACTATATTGTGGCTTTAAACAATATATACCATAATATGAGATTACCTGTCAGCAAAGGGGGTTAAATAAACAATACATTTTGGAAAGTCTACCTAATCCTACAGTTTTGACGATTTTATAAATGGTCCAATTTATATTTCTACAGAGCTGTTATCACCCGATCAGTGTGAGCTCTTAAGATTTAATATCTGGGTTTATAGATCTGACCAATTGACATTGGCAACCTGCAAGAGCACTATAGCCCAAAACCATCTCTTGGTTCCATCATAAACTTTAAATATAATATGCTACATTACATTTACCAGTCATATGACTTTGTTTTCATAACAATATACAGGAAGATGGGAGCCATGGAGTTGGCTGGTTCAGCCAGCCAATCACATTGGTTCATAGGTGATGACACAGAGATTTTAAAAACCCATATCTGGTATCATGCCATTTTTTTTTCTATTTGATCCTCACGAGTCTTTCAAGACGTACAAATCTGTTTTTTGTCTCCACAGGTTTTGGTCCAGATGTTGCAGGATTCTAAGAGAATTTTTTTTTCTTTTGCCGAAAGCCCATTTCTGTGCACAGAAAACAAGGACCTGATAACGTCATTTGACATGGTGACTTAATGTAAGTATTTTATTTCACAGGTATTTTTAGGGGAATATTACACATTTCTCGTGACAGTGTTTATTGTTTTCTGCTTTAAAGTCACAGTTATTCAGACTGTAAATGTGGAACTGGAGAAAGGGGCATGCACATGCTCTTTGGTTTTTCTTGTAACCTCCATCTAACAGTGGAAGTAGTACAAGAAGAGAACTAACAACTCCTTCTACTGCCCTAGGACATAAAAACGTATTATCAGCCGTATTCCAAAGCCCACTACATAGATAAAGATCAGGAGGATTCAAAGCCGTCTAATGTATCTTAATTCTAATAAACCATTGCATATTGGGTAATGGTATAGGGGAAAGATTGCTATGTTTAAAGTCTTAGTGGCAATTATTGGATACCCCATATTACTGTCCTACACTGTTAATCCTCACCTAATCACATATGGGTGAGGGAATGGGGGACCATTGGCAGAGCCATCCCTACTTATTAGTAAGTCCAGAGGAAAAGTACAGATATATTTTCCAGTACCCCACTTGCCATAAATTATATAACAATATTAACCTTATGTTGAGGTCTAGAGTTTTTGAAGTCCACAAACATAACACAAACAAATTATGACAGCTACTTACCTGGTTTGATATCACAGGTGAGCTGTACTCCCAATGGTGCACCTCCCAATTCAGAGTACTGGTGATCTGGAACCTCACCAATGAACTGTGCTGCCCTGTCTGATAAACGCACTAAGCTTTGCCCTTCCACCAAGGGGCAACCTTCACCAACGCAGGCAGCACGACTTCTGGACTTCAACCGGATCCGCAAGGGCAATTTGCACTCAATACCTTTGCAATCTCTAGTGCTGTTACTGTTCCCCTGCTGTTGTCCACCCCATGTGTCAGTAGATCCAACAGAGTCTTCACCCAAGGAACCAGAGGTCTGCAGAAGTGCTCTACTAGGCTGCGTGTATCCATTGTTGGTGGCCATATGCTGGTGAGACCTGGAGGTCCTACTTGTCCTTGCAGTGCACCTTGGACCCACACATGGCCTCTGCTGCTCATTATCTGGCTGGCTGCCTGTACAAGAATGACCCCCTTGGCATCTCTCTGCAGGGATCTTGCTACAAAGCAGGAGAAACACCAGACCATTTAGCCAAACACTGGACCCCGACCCTAGCAGTATCATCTGCAAAATAAAGGAGACAGAGGCTTAAAGGATTATTGTCTAGGGCATAGCTTTCGTAATATTTCCTGTACCACTTATCACATCTAGAAACTGTCATTAAATGCACACAACTGCATAAACAACTCCCCAGGCAATATATTATATTTCAAGAACTTTGAACAGAACTACATCTGTCCATAACTCAGTTTCAAAAGCTGTTCTATTGTACTCAATACAAATGCAATCTTTTTACCAAAAAAATCTAACATATATATATTTGTGTGTCTATATATGTATTTACACAAACACACACATACAAAAACTTAAGTATTGGAATTTCTTGTAATACATTACTCATCCCTTGATGAAGTGTAAAGCATTTATGTCCACACGAATACATTATTTTGCATTTACATTACTGGACAAATACTCAAATATCATTGAATATATATATATATATATATATATATATAGTTCTATAAAGTAGGTATTAGCATTAGTTTGCTTCCTTACACTATATATAGCAAGGTATTTAATTGCCTGGGGTACTGTACCTTAGGAAGACTTGCAGAGTCAAGTCCCTTCTGCTGCTACCTTCAATTAATGACTTGTCTCCAAAACAGAAATCGCAGACTATCCTAAGTAACTGACCTCCACGGAAAAGCTTGAAGCAAGAGAATGTAATGTGTAACATTCCTCAGACTTCATTAGCTTCAAATTTCGCAAAGACCACCCCTTAACCCCCTGCTCACCACATAGCTTTTACATTTTAACTTACCTTAAAAATAAGTTCTTCTGTTCCCATGTGTCTATGAGACAGTTATATACAAACATCGCCGTAACTATGTATAAAATTACATTTGATATTCTTTTTGACATAAGCATTCCATTTTTTTTTTTTTGCAAAGTTAAGAGTTTGTGTCTGAATAGGACACCCCATGCTGTCACTTTGACTGAAAAGTGATGAATAAGTTTAAATGTTAGTGACTAGTTAATCCAAATCCCCATTTTAGACTAATTATGGTAGCCAAGACAAGGAATGCTTTTAACTTATTGTGTAGTCAGTCATTCCACCTCTTCAGACAGTCTGCTGTTCGCTGCCAGAAATTAAAACAACCTTTTTTTTCAGAGATTTTGATAGTCGTGATGCTTAAGAGCTATAGGATTTCACAAACACTTCCTGCATTTTTGTGGGAAAAGATCATTTTCTTTTCAAAATAAAAACAGAAGCCAAGAATAGGTATATCTAGAAATCACTCACTTTACATAAATATAAAACAAAACAGGTTTTTGCAACGGCAGAAAATATTCCAACATATTTGCATGCGTTTTGAGAAGGTCCAGAGAATTTCTGCTTTGTTTACCTGGTTTAAACAAAGAGATTCTTAAATATTTCAATGGAAAGATACAACATCAAAAGATGTGTGCAGTAATCCTACAACACTTGTTTAATTTAACATATATTGAGCAAAGGCCATTGCCCAGCATGGGACTTTACAAACATATTATCCTGTAGATTCCAACAAGGAATGAATAGATTTTCATCTCTAAGTCTGAATGGCTTTTTTTTTCTCTAGTAGTGCCTGCGTGTGTCAAGTTATGAACAGTCTAGAGTCTAAAGAAGGATGTTATATATTTGACCTCCAAGCCATTGCATCATACAAACTGTTCCACCCTTTTCACATAATGTCTTGTGTTATTAGATTCTGTTTTCTGTCTGTCCTGTCTATGGTGTGTGTGTGTACAGACTGTGAAAGTTATACTCTAAGCACCAAAACAACTTTAGCTTAATGCAGCAGTTTATATATATATAGATCTCACTGCTCAGTTATCTGCCATTTGGTAGTTAAATCAGTTTCTTTATGAAGTCGTAGTTACACCTTATCTGGTTTGACTTAAACAGCCTATCTGAAAAAAATGGTTTAATTTTCAAACAAAGTTACAGCACAGTGTGTTTACTTTAGAAGTTATCATCTACTACACCTTCTGGTGGTATAAGAAAAAACTTACACCTATAGTGGAGCGCTAAAGTGCAATCGAATATGGTGGTAACTTACCCTATGTATATAAACAGATATATCAGGGGATGTATCCAATATATAAAAAAGCAAAAGACACAGTCTATAGTGCAGATGGTAATTGCAATTACAGAGTATTAACCCCTAAGTGGTCAAATCACTCACATGTAGTGGAGCTTATGTAAATTAGCTCTGTAAAAATCGTAGTTATGCTCTGAGGGCAGCATCACACCTCTAGTTCAATGAGCGATATCCTCCCAAGAAAGAAGAACAGGGCCGCCAATGTGCAAAATCACCAATATAAATTTGATTAAATATAAAGGTAGGTATTGAGCTCACCTTTTCCAGAGCCCAAATCCCGACACTGAGGTATCCAGGTGTAGTGCCACTATAAAGGGGATGTCACTTTCCCCAATGAAGATTCCTGAGGCTGTAGAGGACTCCTAAAATACTAAAGTAATTTATTAACAAAGCTGATCGGGAATATTAACCAAGCCACTTATAGTCACATTCTGGCTATTAGGCTTAATTTTGTCATTTTGATTTGCTAATTGCAGGTTTTAGTGAACACATCTCTTTTTATTTTCCTAATTATGAAATTTTGGTAAAAAATAAATTTCTTTTCTCCATTCAGTGAAGTGATAAAGTGTAGCGGGCAAACCACAAGGAGGACTCCGAGAATTATACTGTCCCCTGTTTGCAAATATTACATTCACAAAAGAAGGACAAAACATGTCCTGCATGGAATTTTATTTTTATATGGTCAATAACCTGGCTACATTTGGTGACTGGTTTTAATAAAAAATGCTATGTTAATTTAAAGTTAATAATGGTAAGTTACCCTGTGTAAACCTACCCTTAATAAGTGAGAATGCTTAAAACAAAACTGATTGAATGCTGAATGTGGTCATTGAAGTTACAGAGTAACTCATTCATGTTCATGTGTTAAAGCCGGGCTGTCCAACCTGCGGCCCCCCAGATGTTGCTGAACTACAACTCCCATGATTCCCTGGCTATCTTTTTAATTGAAAGAATCATGGAAGTTGTAGTTCAGCAACATCTGGGGGGCCGCAGGTTGTACAGCTCTGTGTTAAAGGATTGTAAGCTATTTTTCTTGATGTTTTGCCATCTTTTTGTTCTGTTTAATTTAGTTGTCTTTCTTCTTTAAGTATGATCAAGTTGATTTACTATTTCGTTCATTTAACCAGCTTCTCATTTACTTACCTCTCTTTAATTATAGCTTTCATCAGTACATTCACTTCTTCAAATATTAATTCAAGTCTTTGTATGCACAGGTGAACTGTTAAAATGAACGTCGCCCACCTGCTTCAGAGGAATTGTAGATTCTTGTAAGCATTGTTACTTATATTTCACCTAAAGACATATAATGAAGTAATCAAATGTTAGGTGTAACCTAACCCTTAAGAGTGTTGTAAGTCTGGTACCGGCCCAAATCTAACAAAAGTTCGTAAGAAACTTGCATTTCAAGAATAACTGATCTTTTCCCACACACTCCCCCAATCCTTGGCTTTAAGAAAAAATGTGTTCAAATATAGAATGCTGATGACTGATGTTAACTTAGTGACAGCATTAATGAATTTCAATGGAACTTTAATTTCAGTCAAAAATAATTGAAAATATATTAATCAAAAGCCTTTTTACAACAGATGGCAAAATCAGAGCAACATAGACATATGCAATGTTTGTTAATATTCATTTTTCATTGGTCTTTAATATTTTAAAGGCTTCTAAGGCTTTTAAGGCTTCTTACATTATCTTTAAACCTAACATAACATCAAATAGATTATTAATACAGGCTTCCCAACAGTCCCAATTTTGGCAGCACAATCCCTATGAGACTTGTCCCACAGTCCCAGGTTTGTTCCCAAGTGTCCAGATTTTTGGGAAACAAGGAAACCTTCGAAAAAAGCATAGCGTGAGCTCATCATTAGACACACTCACTGTTTGCCCAGGATTCTAGAACTATGCAGAGAGTTCTGTAACTGCGCTCTCTGTATTAGCCTTCCTTAGTGGGCTGGCCTGCATCATTGGCAGTCAGCATGGCATGAGTTCTTCCCAGTCTGATCTGCCAGTTATTTGGGCATAACCTCCCCCTCTCTGGGTAGATCCACACTTTTGAATGGCAACAGTGACATTGTTCAAATAACTTGTTATGCCCTCTCTTATCCTGTCCACCAGCATCCCACTTACATGTTGGAGGGTATGTTAAAGGACCATTAAAGTCAACTAGATCACTTCATGCGCAGAGAAAGCAGTGTGGCAAGGTGGAAAAGGTAAGTAAATCTTACCTTTCTCAAACACTCCAAGTGGGACAACACCTAAAAATCTACAGGATAGTGTAGTGTTAGGAGTATATCTTTTAAGTCCAAATGATGAAGCTCCTTTAATACAAGATGGTGCTATGATGTTGATCTATAACTATTGCATAGTTACTGAGACATCGAATTCGAAACAAATTGCATCGATTATGTCTACATCCTAAAGAAATATAAACAAAAATAAGCAAATTAATACAGAATAAACTGTGTGTAAAATTGGCGCTTACGAAGATAGTAAGTAAATGATCTAGTATTAGCAGCTACATCTAGTACATCTAGCGCTCCACTTTTAAAGGTGTTTCCAGTGGGTTTTTCTTTTCGACTTCCCCCTTTAAACAATACTTTATACTACCTAAAAATAAGCAAATTACTTAATTGTAAGTAAGCCCCGCATGCTCCAAAACATGCAGGAAATGGAGAAAAGTGGGCCAGAGCTGTGGTGTAGTTCAGAGATTCCCAAACTTTTGTGGATCAAGGCGCACCACAATGAATGAAATATTTCCAGAGCACACCTGCTTATTTAGCTTTTTACAGTCAGCAGGAGCTCATAAATGTCACGTTCTCCACTGCCATTCTAGAGAGAAATGCATGCTTCTACCTAAATTGGCTTACTGGTTTACATTGCCAGATGCAAATATGACTTTTAATATTGACATTTATTAATAAAACATTTTAAGGGCTGATTTCAACCTACTATGGTCCTGAACATAATTTGATCATGGCACACTTGAGGCACACCGTTATGTCACGACACATTGGTTGATAATCACTGGTGTTGATAATCAATAAGTCATATCCATTTGCCATTAAATAAATTTAGTATTTTTACATAGTTAGATAGGCTGAGAAAGAGACATGTGTCCATCAAGTTGAGCCTTTCTCACATCTGTTTTTGCTGTTATTATTATTATGATATTTATAGAGCGCCGTCAAATTCCACAGCGCTTTACAGTGGGTGGACGAACAGACATGTAGTTGTAACCAGACAAGTTGGACACACAGGAACAGAGGGGTTGAGGGCCCTGCTCAATGAGCTTACATCTAGAGGGAGTGGGGTAAAATGACACAAAAAGGTAAGGGTAGTATTAGACTAATGACAGTTGCAAGAGCGGAATCAGTCAGGAGCTATTAACAGTTTAATTGATACGCTTTTATAAAGAAGTGGGTTTTTCACGATTTTTTGAAGGAGTGGAGACTGGGTGAGCATCTAATGGAGGAGGGAAGCGAGTTCCACAGGAACAGTGCAGCCCTCGAGAAATCTTGAAGGTGAGCATCAGAGGTGGGATGCTGTTGATCCAAAACAAGGCGAATAAAAATCCAGTTTGAAGCATTTTCCAATTTTGCAACAAACTAGGAAATTCTCAACCCCAGAATGGCAGTCATGATCTCTAATGGGAGCAAGAAGCTGTTACCCCATTTTAAAAATGATCTCCCTGAATATTATGGGTTTGCATCTATTTTTCCAGTTTCTGTTTAAACATCTTTACAGACTCTGATGAAACCACATTTTCAGGCATATTATATAGTCCTGTTTATGACTAGATTTTTAGACAATGGTTTAGTGGCCCCGAATATATAATGCTATCATATCTCCTCTGAAAACCATTTTTCGAAATTAAACAGATTTAAATTTCTTATCCTTTTTTCATAACTAAAATCTTCCATTATCCTTATTAATTTTGTAGCCCACCTCTGTACTTTCTCTAGTGTCATAACATCCTTCTTATCAATACTATCATATACCATGATATATAATGATATATACCATAAAGTTCCACATTCCCACCCCCTTCATTAGGTTGTCATCATGTTTAGACATACCCACAATAAATAAACTAGAAATATTTGTACCTCATCTTACCAGTAAATACATTCTATTCATCATGAAAAATAATGGGAAAAAATCATATCCTTCTTTGTGCTATGTGACCCATTTCTTAGCACTTTGCACTTTAGTTTTCTGCTCTGAAAGCCTTGTCAGGCAATTGATACATTTTTTAAAACAATTTTCTTCTATCACCAACCTCCAGTCACAGCCTTTGAGGGAATCTCTGGCAATTTACTCTTCCATTAATTTTTGAGAGTTTCATACATCGTTTATGTGAATGGTACTAAAAACAATAATGTGTGCAGTAGTTTCTTCTATAACAGGAAGAAAGATGCAGAATTATTTGGCTTAAGAGGCTGGTCTAGAACACTCAGTAGATGTCTTTAAAATGGTTTAGATAGTTTTTCTTTGACGGCAAAAACTCAGAGATTTTACCTTTTTGTATAAACATCAGACACAAGGATATGTGAAAGTTTTAAATTGATAGACTTAAGTTTTTCAAAGAATGGCATTGATAACAATCCAGCACTGGTATTCGATCAATAATCTTTTGTGAAGTCAGTCTTTATTCCATGTGTCATGGACCAGTTTTCTGTCAGTAACACTGCTGAAGACAAAAATAGTTATTGATTAAATACCAGGGTTACCTCATTTCATTGTCATTAAACATGTGATTTCATAATCAATATTGCAAGGTTATTGACAAAAGAAATATCAGTATTGCGAATGCTGATACATAAGATATAGGTTAGTAACCACAGTAGTGTGGCGTGCAGCAGTAACCAATTGTGTGTTATATGGCTATTACTGTTTTTGTGTTTCTTTGATATTTTTCAGGGGGAATATTGCATGTTTAATGGTTACAAGTTTGGCTCAGTTATCTTACTGTAGCAGTGAGTTTTATTAGCTATTAACAATGAGTCATAAATAAAAACGTGTTGGTATTAGTTGCAAACGCAGATGAATTATTTCGTCTTGTTAATGTGTTAATAAATGTTCGCTTAAGTGATTGGGATCACCTAAGCTTTACTATCTAATGTAAGTTGTAGGGAGTGTCCTTTTTCACCAAATAAATAATGGAAACGTTTTATCAAAATGTATCACATTGCTTAGATTGTAATTTCTTCAGCATTATTAATAGCTTATCAGCAGACATTAACATGTTGACATAACTCCCAAATATCCCGACTATGAAAGGACAGTCCCAAATTCTGAGTCCTGTCCCACCATCCTGACTTTGTTCCCTGGTGTCCCATTTTTGGGGACACAAGAGAACTGTCCCCAATAAGTGTAGCGCATCATTAGAAGCACTCACTACACTGAGGGTGCTAGAACCCTGCAGGAAGAACTGAAAGAGTACTCCCTGAAAGGTCTTTACTCAGTGACTGGACTAATTCATTGGCCAACCTGCTAGTAATTTGTCGGACTGACCCCGTTTATGGACAGGCCTGCACCCCTTTACCTCCTCCCATTGATGTCCAGCTTCTCCTGACGCCAATGTTGGCAGTTTATGTCGATAATTATGTAATTATTAATTGTAATCAAAACTATATTATTATGTAACTAAGCAACACTCATGTGTGACAACATTTGTTCTATTAACTGGTTTCAAATTAGGCAGGCTGTACTATATGCATTTGAGAAAAGACATTTCAAAAATATCTGATATAGGTTGCTGTTTATTTTACTTTACAATAGTTACATTGCATTCTATAATCCAAAACTTAATTCCTGAGGGCTGAGGTAGAAGGATCAGACTCAAAGTAGTCCGAACCAGTTTGATCTTCCCTGAATCCAATAAATACTGGCTAAGCCATTTCTTGTGTAAGTACAATATTCCCACATGGTACGGGTGTATAATCCGTTACATCTGTATAACAGCTGTTAAACCCTGACATGTAAGCTGTTGTTGTGCATACGCATACTCTATCTTCAAGTTCATATTTTTACACCATGTGACAATCATCTAACAGTGGAGGTGGAGCACTAGACAGCAAACAGAGAACAGAAAAAAACTTGTGCCTGGTTTACTGTAACAGGCATCATGTTATGTTAACATATATGTTTAGTATTTTTTGTAGATGTTCGCTTCGCACAATGGAGCAAAGAAATGAGACAAAGACTCCCACAATTGACTAAAAAAAGTTTAAACTAATATTTTAGACCCACATAGCTCTTTCAATGGTTTCCAACATCCCTTTCAAATTATTTATTTTTTAAGAATAATTATAATAAATCTTGTGGAGATTCTAATACAGGAGTTGTCAGGTTGTCTCCAAACCAATTTCCCTTAAGTATAAGTAACATTATTACAAGGAACATTAATCTGATGGCATGTCTGCATATTTTAGCTTGCATGCTATTGTTAAGTGAAATTTCCAACAGAAATAAAATCCCATTTATTTAACAAATTATAAGATATTAATTAAAATGTGCTTATTAGAAGCCAGATAGATGTATTGTGATTGGTTACTGACTATCCAATGCGTCTACACATTCCTTGCCTGAATTATCTGACACTAATCTTGCCCTGTTAGTCTTGACTTCCTGACTATATAAACTCTACCTATCCTGACCATTGGCTAAAATCACCTACTGTCAAGAGGTCAGTTCACCTTTATTTTAATTTTTTAATTTTTTTTAAACTTTGGCAAAGTTAAATTTACTCAAAGTAAAAAGTTATGGCAGTGAAGACATTTTAAGAGAGGAGTTAAGAGTGTGTACCCAAAATGGCAAAGAAAAAAATAGCATGAGAATTCTGCAAATTTGCACAATTATCCTTAAAAAAGCAATTAAATTCGCTTTTATTCCAGCTCTGGAAGAATCTTCTCACTGCAGCTCTGATCTTCTTCATTACTGATGACTTGTGTCAATTCAGATGTTTCTCCCAGAGAAGCATTGGGACACATTAAAAACATTTCTTATAGAGAAGCCTATTAACCAACCAAACTATGGTTCTCCAAACTGTCTACTTGACCCCCGGAAGGTATTACTAAAATGATTTATAAAAATATATTTATTCACTCTTCAAAATGGCACGTTTATCAAATAAACCTGTAAGGGCATGCAGTTAACACCTACAGCACCTTCCCAAGCCAAAGTACTTTCAAGGACTGGAGTGTCCCTTGGTGGAATTTTTAAACTGCAAAGATGAACCATAAATCTTAGTACAATGTGACTATAACGAACAAATTGCACAATTTCAAAATACCTTTGCGATGACCTAAGTGACTACGTAGCATTCACATAGCATTCAATTTACTGACAAAAAAATGTGTCGAAAACATAAAACTGATCCTGGTTAAGCATATTTAGTATATGTCCTCTCTGTGTTTATTTTCCGTAGAATACATTTTTATATTTTCAAAATGAATTGGGTTTTTATGTGATGTCTACAGAGAATTGTAAAAATCGTGCATCATTTAGTAATCTTATGGGACTTATATGTGTTTTTTTCAAAACTCTCCCATCCAACAAAAAGTATTCGGGTGACATCATAGTCATGTAGTCTCTGCGCAGAAACTATGCAACAGTTATTGTGTAAAAGGTGTATTTGAATTACTGTTAGAACATTATAATAAGACAAAGGCTGGATTTATCAGACCTCCCTGAAGGTAACGGGACTCACCCATTTAGATCAAACAGCATAGGCATTCAATTATTTGATGGCCATTATTCCCCCTGTCTTAAACTATTCTTGGCACTTCAGAAAAAGGGCACACATTGTATTAAAGTATTACTGAGGATTTTTTTAAATGTGTTAGTTCATTTAGAAAAAAAAATTACAAGACAAGTAAACTTTAAATGGGCTTAAGTTTTAGACACTGCGTTGGTATTTATTTGGCATGTATTCAAACGAGTCTGTCAGCAAATTCATGCCTTTTCTATTTAATTCGACACTGTAAAAATAGTTTAAAATGTTTCTAGATCTTTTCTACATAATCCTTACTTAGGAGTAAAAGCTAAAGCTTTGGAGATTTGCTTCTGTGATAAATGGATTATTAAAATCTGATGGTGTCATAAGGCGTTCAAGTAGTCAGAGATAAATTGTATTTATGTAAATACTGGATATATTTTTTGTTTATGTTTGAATGGAAATGAGACAAAAGATGGGATTCATTAAGACTTCACAACACTAAAGCAAATGGAATTCAAACCAGTTTCTTACAAATAAATGCCAATAAAAACTGTATCTAGAAAAAGTGTATTTCTTGCTCTGTTTTGGGGGGAGGGTTGCATTTAAAACCGCGCTGTCACCCCCCTCCTAAACGAGTATTTCATAGAGATAGAATCTTTATGAAATATTCCTATTGACTGTGTTAGAATTTCACTGATATTCCAACAAAGTCAAAGGATATACTGAGACAAAATAGGGACTAATTTGTCTCAGTATTTTTCCTAAGCCTGACAAACCTTGACAGTAGGTGGAGCTAGTGATGGCTGTTGGGAAATCAATCTCTTTCTACGGTGGATCACGCGACCACCAGATCCCTAGCTACAGGGTGACCATAGTTGTCTTTACAAATTATGCAAAGACCCCTGACGGTGGCAGATTGGCTATAACTACACATTCTCTCTTAGTTCTTTTGCCTCTGGAACATGGATGCATCTGTGATCCAATACTTATTCCCAATTTGGGGACACAGAGCCAAAACAAAACAATTATATTTGATAAACAGACAATTTATTTCACAGGTACAATGAAACACTTTATTTTTCCTTTCATTCTTATACTGACACATTACAGGAAGATTTCATTCTTGGCAAAATATCGTCTTTGGGATGTTTGTCAGTGAAAATATGAAACTTCAGGTCATGTAAATAAGCCTGTCTTCAGATTCCTCGGTGAACACAAATATTAAATATATCAGGTTAACATCCATGGTTATCAACTGTCATATTGGAGCAGTTTGACCTTTTTCAAACAATTTGACTTAAATGACATTTCAGTTTTATCAGCCTCATGTTGGTGAAATGCCTAAATCCAAATGATCGGTAAATGAAATTTACGTTTTAGTGTTTCAGAATGTTTACCTTTTCTAAATCTTGATCAGCAAAAGAAATTGTAAAGTTAGTGGGGGTTGTTTTTTTAAAGGGGCTCTGCATTGTTAGCAGTAAATACATTTATATTTGACTTATATTTTGAATTTTGATTAGTCCCTGGCCTTATCTTATAGTTAGGATAGCCTTATGCCTATCCCACGCATGCTTAAACTCCTTCACTATGTTAACCTCTACCACATTAGCTGGAAGGCTATTCCATGCATCTATAATCTAGATTATTTTAAATGTTTAACCTTAATTGCCAGCTGCATTAGAATGTATTATAGTTACATTTGAAGCTTGTGTATGTTTTGAAATACATATGGTGGTTCTATTAAAGCATTACTGACATTACCATGTTGTCCAAACATGTTTTATGTGACACTTTCAATGCATTACTTGTGAGTTTCTCTCTTTTCTGAAGTTAGTAGTTACTGTGTAATTAGAGCTCACTGTAATTAAAATATAGTGCATGCTTCTTGTTACTTTGAATTCCCTGCTGTTTTCATTCATCATCGTGAAACTGACCATTTCCACACAGTATCCTTCCAGTATCCCGAGAGGGCCTTACAGTGCAGGTTCATTTAAACGTCAATGAGTCATTTAACAATTGTTGCTTTTTGAGAAGAAGAAATTAAACGCAAATCTACCTGGGAGAGAAAAGGAGAAACACGTCTGTTTTTAAAGTCACAAGTGAAGCGCCACAGGCTGTACAGCGTTGGGTGAACAAGCAAGTTTTATTGTGGAATGCAGGACAAAACAAGGATACGATGTTTCGGCCATGATGCCTTAATCATAATACATGATTAAGATCTAACAAACGAACCAAGTTAATGAGGTGACATTAATACAGTGCTTACAGTATCTCTTAAAGGAACATTATAGTGTGTATTTCTGATACTATAGTGTTAACAATGCAGTTTACTGCTGGCTACCCTTGACACTTTTTAAAGTGACTGACACTAGAGGTGTTCCTAGGCAATTATGCAAACACTGCCTTTTCTCTGAAAGGGCCGTGTTTACCTTTAAAAAGCCTGCAGGTACATGCTGTACACACCAGAACAACTAGAATAAGCGTAATTGGTTCTGGTGACTATAGTGTCCCTTTAAAAAAATAGCTATATTTTTATCTTATAGTTATCAAATTTCAGTGACAAAAGCTACACAGCAAAATCGCACACCGTGCTGAAAAATGCCCTGGAATCACCTAGGACAACTGTGAGAACTTGCTTACATTGCATTGTATGCACACTTTTCTCTAGGTTACCTGAAGGTGGAATACCAAAGAAAGAATCTGGAACATAAGGACAAGGAACCCACTTTGTCTCAGTCCTGCTACTGTGCTTGTCACAAATTCTCTAGATCAGTGGTTCCCAAACTAACAGTTCAGGATTTATGTATTTCCCTCTTTTATTTCAATGGAGAAACTGACAAAACCTGGACTGTTGGAGGATCTTGAGGACTGGTTTGGGAAATACTGATCTAGGGTTTGCAAGACAATTTTCAGCTCTCTGTAACATTATTTTAGCAAGTAGTTTCCCTAATGACCCGCATGTCCCTCTAGTGGCTGCCTAGTAGACAGCCACTAGAGGTGCAGTTACCCCACAAAGCTAATTATTGCCGTTTGTTAAAAATTACAATAATTAGCTGTGCAGAGTTAAGGGACCTGGGACTATGCACCCAGACCACTGCAATGAGCTGAAGTGGTCTGGGTGCCTATAGTGTCCCTTTAATACATATGTGATCACCGCAATGAAAAAAAACAAAAACAATAAACTCACAGTAGTTGAGAATTTCCACCATAAAATGTACATACAAATAAATAAGAAAAGATATATAGAGTAAAACTGTAGGACTTAAACATACTGAAATTGAAACTACCAATACACACACATGTATGGAGAGCAGGTAAAGGCTGCTCAGACTATAAATACTTAAGACTAAAGAGTTACCAGTACTTTGTGCCATTCATCTGTAGCTCATCGAAATGAAGCAATGGAAAGCACATAAGCGTTAAACTGAAGTAAATGAGCAAATACAGTCCAAGGAGCAAGACATATGGGAAGGTCAAGACAGCTCCACAGGGTCAGATATCCAGGAAACAAAGGTTCAGTAGCATAAAAAGAGGCCAAGGGTCAGGTATCCAGAAAAAGTACAATTAGGTTTAGCCAAGTGTCCACTGCTAACAGTACAGAACAACTGGTTCAGCTATGAGTTAGGGTGCAAAATAAACAACAGATAAATAATTGACACAAAAATTGACACAATAGTATTGATATCACTTTGATAAATCTCCACCTTTATGTCAATAGGACATCAGCCAGCTTTCTAAAACAGAAACTGTTTAAAAACAATCATGGAGCTAAAAAAAAAAAAAAAAGACTAGCAGCAGAGGAGCCGCTAGTCAGAATGAAAACCTGCAAAAATAAGGTATTTATAAACAAAATATCTAAAGCACGTTAGATGCCCATTTTTTTTTATTTTTTTTTAAAGGACAGTCATTTTCTACCTGGAGTGCTTTAAAACCCCGGTTGTTCAACGCTGCTAGTAGTTTCCTGCAAAAGTGGGACATTGAGAAGTATGTTTTTATTTTAATTATTGTTTATACTGTGTTTTGGTGGGGGTCAACTCCAATTGTCATTTTAAAGTTTAGTTAAACTGGTGCCAAACCTGTAGCCAGGAGCATTAATGTGTTAAAACAGAACCATTAGCCTAATTTTATAGTAATTGTATTTTCTGGCGCACATCATAAAATAAAAAACAGTTACGTCTGTGGCTTTAGTAAGACCACTATCCTCACAATTAAAACATGACATAATGTAGGATTACACTGGTTCAAACGCAGTCAATGATCACGTCCATATGCTGCAGAGACATAAAGGAATTATTTAGTCTGAGTCTCAGTCCCAGTTCCAGTTTTTTTGCTAAATGTACATTGTCCATAAAGTATATATTAACATTACTAGAATAGTAATACTGCAAATTGTTTTATATTAATTAACTTAAGACAAGTTCAGATTTGCAAGTACAAGTTCTGAGTTTTAAATTTTTCCTTTTACTACTGCATGAAGCAGTACTCGGTGGGGAGAAAGGAGAAATAAATAATTGAAATTCAAATATTCTGATTATTATGTCAATCAAAATACAGTTGGGAATCAAATCATGGTCAATGACTTATAAATCAATAGTATCATGAGATGGACAACTGTGAGGCAACTCCCTGTCATACCAAAATGTATCGAAAAGGTCCAGGATGTATGGAATCCCAGAGAGACCATGTATTTTTTATATTTTTCTGAATTTTATCTCGAGAAACTAACTTGCTATCTCTCTTTTATTTTATCCCTGTGAGATGCTACCTTAAAAGCACTAACACGCTGAATACTGAGCCAATTGATTTAGGCTCTGATGCATGTGAGTGGTCTGACTTCTCTCATATGTATGTTTTTTTCAACACAATTACCATCTGCACTTTATTTTGTTGTGTTTCTATTTTTTTTTTTGTTGTGAACTACACATCAAGTTAAATTCAAGGGTAACCAACCTGTCATTTCAGCACTCCACTAAAGGTATTAGGGTCTTTTCACTGATACCACTCTGTATTTTGTTTACGTATTTGTGTGTGGGAGGTAGAGTGTTCCCACAGGACCCACACAAGTGTTTTTGAGCTGCCGTTAAGTTATTTCTATCAAAGCGCTTTTTGAATCTGCACACTTCCTTCTTTGGAGGTTATTTTGTTTTGAGTTGTGTAACTAGTCCGTAATCAGTCTGGTACCTAAACATTTTAATTTATCTTAAAATTTGAGCCAGGTAGATATTAGTGGTATTTCTAAAATACAAAAAAGCCAGAACATGGATATATATCCCAAAAAAACTATACAAACTGAGCACCCGTGTCTCACCAAAAATATTTCACTATGACATTATGATTATGGGGATGGAGTGCACTATGATTCAACCAAATTAAAATCCAATCTATTTAAAAAGGGAACTTTCTGTCAATTGATTTATTTAACAATTTTACCTGAGAGTTGTAAAAAATAAACCTTTCATATAAAGATTAACTGGAGTAAGATTAATATCAACATAAATATATTTAGACAATAGAAATCAGACTGACTGTGAAATTAATGAACTTACCCATTTTGTCCTTACCATATAACTATTATTTATATAGCGCCAGCAAAATTCCGTAGCGCTGTACAATGCGCTGTATAATAAAAGCATTTTATCTCCACGGATACATAATTCTATCTACCACTAATCTCTCTGCAACAGGTTGGACTAATCAACCCCCAATTTCATTTCCAGACTCCATTAGTAAACTCTTGCTGCAAAAACCCCTGAGAGTAGATTTTCTGGGAAAATGGTTGGAAGCCCTCAGATTACTCCATTCACTTATTTTCCCGATATCTAAACCAGGGGTAGACAACCTTTGGCACTCCAGGTGTTGTGAAATACATTTCCCATAATGCACTTACAGCCATGATGATGGCAAAGCATGAGAGAAGATGTAGTCCACAACATCTGGAGTGCCGAAAGTTGCCTACCCCACATTTAAACCATCAAAGTAGTGGAGTTATATGTACTATTAGGGCACCAGCATAGTGCGCATAATAATTTACAATAAGGCTGTCCACTTTTTAAATGGAACTTTATTAGATACTAGTCTGAATCTTTTCAATTAGGCAAATTCTGGCATTTTAGATTTGGCAAAATTCTATTTAGCCTTTGATACACACAGTCATGTCAGATTGTGTAACATTCCACACTGCATTCAATAGATGTGGCCAGCTCATATGGTTTGGAATTCAATATATCATTCAGTTGGTGCAATAATCCCCAGTTGTGTGAAATTCTAAATGGAATTCAACAGATGCAACCATTCTGAAAAGTCTTTGTAATATTCACAACACCCACAAGATGGAGTCTTCTTCTTGATGTGCATTTCAAAAGCCTCTCTCTTCTTATCTTTGAGGTGACAGAGGTCATACCTAAGTGTATAATTTTCAAACTGGCCATATAAAAATGCTATGTTATTCAGATGGTTTTCTTTTCTCTGAAACAGACTGAACATTTCACTATCATTTGCCAGCTCAATTCATAATGTCAACCTCTGCCTTGTCGCCTATTCTGTTATCATTGGCAACAGATCATGTACTCTTTCACAAGGCCCATACAAGGAAGGAATTACAATGGTATGGTAAATGCTGTCTGCCGCTGAGCTGACACTGGTTGCTTAATAGCTTCTGGTTCCACTGAATAGATTTCTAGTATCAGAGGGATTCGTAGCCTGCTCTTGCATTTGTGCATTCTAAGATAAAACCACTGACCATTCTTGATTTTGACTTGGAAAAAAATAAGAATATGCAGGTTCGTTTAACACTCTCTGCAATGTTTATATTCATTAATCACCAGCAAGGAGGGATACAACGAAAGTGAGATTAATGCCATGCTTAAATAAAAAGGCTTTATATTTTAACTCAGGGCAGGTGCGTCCTATCGGCTAAATAGGCGGCTGTTTTGGGCGCCTACTTAGGGGTGGGCGCCAGCAGTGGATTTACTGCTAGTCTGGCCGACCCCCTATCGAGTGGGTTTGATTATATATAGCGGCCCGCGGCAGCCGGCAGCTGCAATATCGGGCACTAGGGAGCACTTACTTGTAGACTAGCGCCCGGTAAAACGTTGGTCCGGCATTCACCACAGCCAGCTAAGTCAGGACCACTCTCCCAGTCAAGCACCGGCAGCGCAAGGGTGCGTCATTCACTCGCTCCCACCCCTTGCCCTGTACATGGGGACAAGGGAGCGGGAGAATAACAGGAAATGGGAGCTTGGTAAAAAGTGTTGGCGGCCAGTAAAGAAGACAGGAAGGAAGAGCAATGTGAAATGAAGGTAAGAGAGAATGTACAGTGTGTTTCATAGAATGTGTGTCAGTATGTTTCAGTCAGTATGTTTGTGTATGTCAGACTGCTTGAGTCTGTCTGTGTGTGTGTGTGTGTGTGTGTGCATGCATGTGCGCATATGGGTCTGTGTGTATGTATGGTTCTGTGTGTGTGTTTATGTATGGGTGTGTGTGTATGTATGTGTGTGTGTGTGTGTGTGTGTGTGTGTGTGTGTATGTATAAGTGTGTATGGGTGTGTGTGTATATGTATGGGTCTGTATGTGTGTTTATGTATAGGTGTGTATGGGTGTGTGTGGGTGTATGTATGGGTGTGTGTGTGTGTATAGTTGTGTATGGGTCTGTATGTGTCTGCATGGGTCCATGTGTCTCTGTGTATGGGTCAGTGTCTGTGTATGGGTCAGCATGTGTCTGCATGTGTGTGTATGTATGGGTCTGTTTGTGTGTATGGGTCTCTGTGTGTGTGTGTGTGTATAGGTCAGCGTGTGTCTGCATGGGTCAGCGTGTGTCTGCATGGATCAGTGTGTGTGAATGGGGGTCGGTGTATGTAAGTCTGCATGAGTGGGTGGAACAAATGGGGTGGAAAAAGTTCTCACTACTCACCTTAATTCAGCATCCACCACCTAAAAAATAGTTGTCCTTGACATTATTTACATCAGATCAAATGGTTACTTTAGGCAATGATCCAAGTAAAGCTCGAAATGTACTCTTATTTAGGAAATCTGTATTCCTTAAAAGCTCAATGGTCAAGGTAGGGAAAAAGTTGGACCCTCAGATGTCCTCTCTCAATAGTTTCATGAATATATATATTCTTTTTACCTCTATTGCTCATGCCTCACTGTGAATAAAATCAGCATTTACTGACTGTTGCCTAGCTATCAATAATCTATTTTCACATTAATCATATACATTTTTGGTTCCAAAGGTGGAATTCATAATCACGAATAAAAACTCAAGATATTTGACTGATCACCTGATTGAAGACCCACATATCTCAATAGTAAGAGTAGGCACCTGCCCAGGGGCGTACCTAGAGCATTTGGCACCCGGGGCGGATCCTGTGCTTGGCACCCCGCCCCCCCCACCCACACAAAAAAAAAACCTGTAAAAAATGTTAAAGGTTTTCTTTCTTTATTTTTACAATTTGTAAACTTTGCAAAACCGCTGTCAGCCCCTCCTACAAAACCCTTGTCCTGCCCCGCCCCTCCTACAAAACCTCTGTTCTGCCCCTTCTACAAATCCTGTACTGCCCCGTCTACAAAACCCCCGCAACCCCCTTCCACAAATCCCCTGCTTACCCCCCCTTATAAAGACTCCTGTCCCAATACAAAGCCGCCGCCCCTTCTACAAAATCCCTGCAGCCCCACACACACATTTACAGGCAGACAGTCACACACTCAGTTACAGACAGACAGTCACACACTCAGTTACAGGCAGACAGTCACATACAGTCACAGACAGACAGTCACACATACACATTTCCTCCGTGCGGCCAGTTTATCAGCTGTTTGCTTGTGTGAGCTGTACTGGCCGCACGGCACCCTAACTACCATGGGGCACTGTGCGGCCACAGCTCACACAGCTCCCTCCAGCCAGGGCCGGTGCAAGGATTTTTGCCGCCCTAGGCAAAAGTAAAGTTTGCCGCCCCCTCCCATGTGACATCACAATGCCCCACCCATATGATTTGCCATGTTAACTAGCGCCAGTGCTGCAGTGCCGCCGTGTTTACATTAAAAGGCCTGCAGGGACAGGCTATAGACACTAGAACCACTACATTAAGCTGAAGTGGTTCTGGGGACTATAGTGTTTCTTTAATGTGAGGTAAATTAGAGCTTAGTGCCACGAATAATATACTAGATTGCCTACTTACAACCAGATGAGGATGATCATGGGCTCTAGCTGCAGTCTGGCTCCACTGGTCTGGTGCAGAACAGGCTCTCTGGAAGCGGTTTGTAACTGTGGTCACAAAAATCAATGTTCTGGGAGAACGGGAAGCAGCTCCATTTTTTGGGGGTCCTTTACACAGCTCAAGGTCTGGGTTCCAGGGTCCACCTTCATGTTCCACCAATGAGTTTGTTCACAGGGGTGGAGTGTGTAGGGGATGTCCTGATATGTGTGTAAGGAATGCATTGTGTGAAATTGTGTTTGTATGTGTAGGGGCTGCAAGGTGTGTTTCTGTGTATGTATGGGATGCATTGAATGTGTGTAAGGGGTGCATTGAGTGTGTGTAATGAATGCATTGTGTGTTTCTGTGTGTGTAAGGGATGCATTGTGTGTAACGGTTGCATTGCTTGTGTATGTGTGTCTGTGTGTGTAATGCATTGTGTGTTTTTCTGTGTGCAAGCGGTGCATTGTGTGTATGTGATGAATGTCAATCTCTCCTCCAGCTTCAATTTCCTTCTCCTCCTCCCAATTTCTC